CGGGATTCAAGGTGGGCATCAACTACCAGCCGCCCACCGTGGTGCCGGGCGGGGACCTGGCCAAGGTGCAGCGCGCCGTCTGCATGCTCAGCAACACCACGGCCATCGCCGAGGCCTGGGCTCGCCTGGACCACAAGTTCGACCTCATGTACGCCAAGCGCGCCTTCGTCCACTGGTACGTGCCTTGCCGTCGCCTCCGCCGCCGCCGCCGCTGTTGTTGTTGTGGTGGTATCGGTCGACCATGTACACAAGTATAGACAGTGCACCATCACCACCGCAACGAGTTGGGTCCGAGCACACCTGAGCCCGTCTTTCGCGCAACAGAATCGCTCTCTCCTGATCTCGCCCGCCACCGAGTTGCGGGCAATCTGGTTGCGGGTTATTGGGTTGCGGGCAATCGGGTTGCGTGCGAGATCTGCAGAGCAGTTGGGCCCCGCTGTGGCGGTGGCGAGAGTCCCACCGCTGCCGGACGAAGACGGTGTGGGTTGGGGTTTCTAATGCCAAGCCTGGTGATGCTGCCGCTTGGTAAAGATAGTGACGACGATGATACCGATGATGACGACGTCGACGACACTGATGACGACGATGCTACTAACGACGATGATGACACTGATGCGGCGGAGAGATGATTGCGCCGATGCTATTACTGATGCTGCTGTTGGTCATCATGTGACGGTGGTGGTGATGATGACAACGACGACGATCTTACCGCCACCACTGATTTTGGCGGTCGCGCCGATGATGCCAATTATGTTGACGACGATGACGTTGACGCCGACGACGACGCCGACGACGATACCGATGACGCTGACAATGCTGACGACGTTGACGATGCCGACGATGACGTTGACGACTCTGTTGCCCGCAGGTACGTGGGCGAGGGCATGGAGGAGGGCGAGTTCTCGGAGGCCCGCGAGGATCTGGCCGCGCTGGAGAAGGACTACGAGGAGGTGGGCGTGGACTCTGTGGAGGGAGAGGGCGAGGAGGAGGGGGAGGAGTTCTGAGTCCACCTCGTCGCACAATGGCCGCCTCGCATGCCCTCGACACAGATTGCTCTGTAGACGAATTTGGTGATGACAGTTACGCGAGAGTCAAATAAAAGTCATAATAAAGGAGCATCTTAAATCAGCAAATCGCTCTGTCCACGTGTGCCTGATTTGTCGCTCTGAGTTTTGTCCTGTTTGTGTGCGCGTACGTTGAACTTCTTTCGCACCGTACGTAGCCAACCGTGCTAATCGGAGGTGCTGGGGAAGGACGACAAACTAAACACTCAAAATGCAATTCTAAAGAAATGAGTTTTCAATTATTTTCGCTCGAGCTCCACAACGAGGGATCTGGCAGAAGGAAGAAAGCCGTGGCGACAGGCTGGCGTGGTGCTTACACTCGCACCGCACATCGAGAAAGGTCCTGGGTTTGATGCCCGACTGGGGTGCCTTTCTACGTGGTGTTTGTGTGTTCTCTCTCCCCCTGGTCTGCGTTTCCTCCCATAGCTTAAAAAAAACCCATACAATGTAACTGGTATCGAGCCAAACATCCCAATGCTCAAAAATCACCTGCAATTTACTCAAATTGGATCAACAACTACAGCCGCCATTCTCAATTACGTGGCAGCGACGTCACCACGGCGCCTGTGCCAGGCCAGGTGCACTTTGAGGCCACGTGAAGTGTCGAGAAGGCTCGCTGACAGGAGGTCACGGGACAGACCCAGGTGCCATGGGTCGACTGAGATGACTGGCAGGTGCTCCACCTGCAACCCCACAGAGGCCGATCTTGACACCGCCAGTGCCAGTTTTCGGCAAGTCCGCTCAGCTCCGCATCCTCCTGTACCGCATCAGCTCCATCTCTTCTCCAGCCTGTGTCGTGCCCGTTTAGCCCTCCCACCTTCCTCTATGCGGCCAAACAGAAGCTGCTTGGGCATGCGGTGGCTGGGCATGCGGTGGCTGGGCATGCGGTGGCTGGGCATGCGGTGGCTGGGCATGCGGTGGCTGGGCATGCGGTGGCTGGGCATGCGGTGGCTGGGCATGCGGTGGCTGGGCATGCGGTGGCTGGGCATGCGGTGGCTGGGCATGCGGGCTACGTGCTCACTAGCCGGAACGTGTTCGGATCTTTCAAGGATTTCGTGAGCCCCTCGCACAGCCAGCCTGGTTCAAGCCGGCGTGGATTCGCGGCAGGGCCCTCGCACTCACCGCGAGAGGGCACCAGCGACCATCCCATCACCCGCACTCAAAATGGGACCCTTTCTTTGCCAGTATCAAACAAAAAAGTCCCATTTTGTAAGCTGTTCACCCCCCCGCCCACCCCCCGAGCTATACATGCTCTTGATACGTGTGGCATTGTCTTTGTTGCTGTTCGCCTTTTTGGCGTTGTTCGCTGGTCTGACACCGGTGAGACGAGGCCCCTAAAGATGGCATCGTTTCAAAGACGATGCCATCGTGATCATCGGAGCATGATTTGTTTGCATGTTCACCGCAAGTACCGTGTGCGGTTAATGCAGTAACTTGATAACTTGCAAAAAAAAAGTGTTTCCAGTTGGTGTTTGAAGATCCCAACACGACTTCCGTTTTATTGCAAGAGATGGCACCACCGATTCTGATTTTTTTCATAGCCGCACTCAACACTCCATCGCTGCCGTCGTTCCACGTGGCGTTTGAACCAAAATGCAAGAGGCTACCTCCACTACCACGTCACCTTCACCACCACGCTACGTTTAACGTTGCGAGCCGTTCCACGGCTGAGCGGAGTAGTTCGCTGGTTCCACCAGAGCACGGCGTGGTTGTATTGTGGTAGCTGGCGGGTTAGTTCGCTGGTTCCACCAGATCACGGCGTGGTTGTATTGGGGTAGCTGAGTGGAGTAGTTCGCTGGTTCCACCAGAACACGGCGTGGTTGTAGTGGGGTAGCTGGCGGGTTAGTTCGCTGGTTCCACCAGATCACGGCGTAGTTGTATTGGGGTAGCTGAGCGGATTAGTCCGCTGGTTCCACCAGATCACGGCGTGGTTGTATTGGGGTAGCTGAGTGGATTAGTTCGCTGGTTCTACCAGAACATGGCGTGGTTGTAGTGGGGTAGCTGGCGGGTTAGTTCGCTGGTTCCACCAGAACACGGCGTGGTTGTATTGAGGGTAGCTGAGCGGATTAGTCCGCTGGTTCCACCAGATCACGGCGTGGTTGTATTGGGGTAGCTGAGCGGATTAGTTCGCTGGTTCCACCAGAACACGGCGTGGTTGTAGTGGGGTAGCTGAGTGGATTAGTTCGCTGGTTCCACCAGAACACGGCGTGGTTGTATAGGGGTAGCTGAGTGGAGCAGTTCGCTGGTTCCACCAGATCACGGCGTGGTTGTATTGGGGTAGCTGGCGGGTTAGTTCGCTGGTTCCACCAGAACACGGCGTGGTTGTAGTGGGGTAGCTGGCGGGTTAGTTCGCTGGTTCCACCAGATCACGGCATGGTTGTATTGGGGTAGCTGGCGGGTTAGTTCGCTGGTTCCACCAGATCACGGCATGGTTGTATTGGTGGAGGAGTCGGTTTCACCACCGCATTCGCAGTTTGTTCGAGTGGCCTTGCTCCCCCGATTGCTCCATCCATGGAGGAATGATCCCGCCCCCATCCTTCTCTCCCACCACGCCGTGGTGGTGGTGCTGCTGGTGGTGATGATGGTGGTGCTGGTGGTGTTGTTGGTGCTGGTGGTGGTGCTGGTGGTGTTGTTGGTGCTGGTGGTGGTGCTGGTGGTGTTGTTGGTGCTGGTGGTGGTGCTGGTGGTGGTGGTGGTGCTGGTGGTGCTGGTGGTGGTGGTGCTGGTGGTGGTGCTGGTGCTGGGACGCAGTTGTTGAGAGCGGTCCCCCACTACCCGTGGGGACTATTCTGGCAAATCGCCCGATGATGCTGGATGTAATTACCGGCGAAGCGTCGCACTCAGATTGTAAATGCTGTGGATTTACTCTCCAACATCACCGGTAGGCTGAAGTTGAAACAAATTGGCGCGTTTTATGTTTACAGTACGTGGCAACACCTTGCGAATTGTCTGTGTCGGGTGGCGGCGGGTTGCGACGCACTTATACTGACGCGATCTAACCCAAACAAAACCTTTATTATGATGAATAACAATTGTCGCGAAAGCCTCGCGCGTCTTCGACTGTAGGCAGAGAGACCGCGGCTGCTGCCTCTCGATTCCGGGCGAACCGCCGCACGTGCGTGTGTCGACTTAACGTCATTCGCTCGTAAATTGTTCGTGCAAGGTGCACCGCGTGCTGAACTTCCTTCGCGCCGTGCGTAGCCAACCGTGCCCGCCAATTTGTCGGATTGTAAACGATTGCACGGAGAGCTTCTTCACTCGAGTCTCTGTTTTTTTTCAAGAGGGTCCTGCCTAGATATATTTTTTTGCAGTGGGGGGGGGGGGGGGGGGGGGGGTAGCGATAACGATTCATGCTCTGTTTAATCATCCCAATTGAGCCATTTAGTAGGTGAATTATTTTACATTTGGCAATTGAACCGTGACGCCGGCACACGTGATCTCTGACGTCCACAGAGTGGCTCAGATGGCGCGTAGTAGTAATAGTCGTCGTATTTAATAATTATTCCACCCGGCAGTATTAACCGGGGCTGCCGCTATAATTCTAACCGATAACTTCTGCAATAACTGCCTGGCCCACGTCACGACCCATAACACCGGAGTGGCGGCGTCTGTTTCATACGGACAGTGGTGCAGGAGGTGGGCGGGGGGCGGGGCACGTGGCCAATTCCTGCCCCCCAACTCTGGCCTGTGGGCCCGAGTGCAGTTGCACCGCCTGCACACTCCATTGCTAGCGCCGACCGCCGATTGTTCAACGCCCGCCCGCCCGCCCGCGCCCCTAGCGCGATGTTGCGGCGACTGCGCCTCTGTCTAGACGCACGTGGGTCCCACGCGTGTCCGAGGACGCATTCGCGTCACCCCCCCCCGCCCCCCCCCCCCAGCTGTCGGACGCGGTCACAACGCGGGCCCGGCCACGTGTCCGCGAGTCGATCGAGCCCCATGCGTGACGCGTCACGGCGCGTCATCGCGCGTCGCATCATCACGGTGGCGAGGTGTCGTCTCCCTCGCCTGCTGTGCAGGAGGTCGTGGGTTCCTACCCTGACCCTGACGATGCCTGCTGCTGCTGCTGTGTATTTGGAGTTTGCGTGTCTCTCTCTCTCTCTCATCATTATCATCATCACGGTGGCTAGGAGATGTTAACTACCTCGCCTGCTATGCAGGTCGTGGGTTCGATCCTGACCCTTACGCCTGCTGCTGTATATTTGGAGTTTGCGGGTCTCTCTCTCATCATCATCATCACGGTGGCTAGGAGATGTTAACTACCTCGCCTGCTATGCAGGTCGTGGGTTCGATCCTGACCCTTACGCCTGCTGCTGTATATTTGGAGTTTGCGGGTCTCTCTCTCATCATCATCATCACGGTGGCTAGGAGATGTTAACTACCTCGCCTGGTATGCAGGTCATGGATTCGATCCCGAGCCTGACGATGCCTGCTGTATATTAGCAGTTTGCGTGTCGCTCTCTCTCTCTCTCATCATCATCACCGTGGCTAGGAGATGTTAACTCCCTCACCTGGTATGCAGGAGATCGTTGGTTCGATGCCGACCCTGACGATGCCTGCTGCTGTATATTTGGAGTCTGCGTGTCTCTCTCTCCCCGTGATCGCGTGGATTTGTTTCCCGGTCCCCCGGTTTTTCTCTCCATATGTAGAAGCAACATCACGCGTTTAGAGTATTTGACAGCTGTACATTTCCGCACGATGAGCCAATTCGTTGAGCCATCATTTGTGGCCAGGTCGCTTCTGAAGACGAGCTACGGATCTCGGTGAGTACTTTACCTGGTAAGATAGAAAACGAGTTTATATTTCGATTTAAAGCTTTCGTGGCTGCAGGGATTCATATTCTCTTGTTTTATTTTTATTGTATTATTTCCCTTCTACGTGACTTTACCGAAAGAACCAATAATATAACCAAGTGTATAGTTCAGCATTTTAGTCGCGATGCTGTCGCAAATCTCGCTGACATACTCACACAGCATCACCACACACAACATTATCACATCGCATCATAACCCACACCTCCCATTTATCACGGTCGGCGACGTACGGTGCGAAAGAAGTTCAACACACATGCACCAGCATCGTCCACACCCCCACGCCCACGTACACACCACACGTGACATCACCAACGGACGCAGCATCATCACCACAACACACACATCAACATCACACTTAACATCACCACCCACATCAACATCACACGTAGCATCATCATCATCATCATCACACACATCAACACCACACTTAACATCATCACACACATCAACACCACACTTAACATCATCACACACATCAACACCACACGTAGCATCAACATCATCACACTTAACATCACACTTATCATCATCACACACATCAACATCACACGTAACGCCATCACGCACATCAACATTACACGTAAACATCGTCACAGACCACCATCACACACAACATCACACGGAACATCATCATCGCACACACATCATCATCATCATCGCACACAACATCACCACACACGACATCGCTACCACCCAGACTAACAGTGGATTTCGCTGGCCTCTAGCGAGGATGAAAACGATAGGGACACGGGGATCGTGATGATAGCGATGGTCACGATGACAATTCTAAGCGCAGTGCCAGTGTGACAATTGTATTATTTATGTTTAAAGACGATGCGAAAGATGACAACTACAGCGCTGACAGAGGATAAACAAAGACATTGACTCCGTTATAACAACAACAATCATCATCATCATCAGCTGCTGCTGCTGATTTTAACCAACGACCTTCAAACCGCCTCCCCCCTCGCCCCTCCCCCCCGGCGCGTGCCACCCCCACACCGCCCACGCATCACAGAGCCGAGTTACCCACCAGGTCATCATCATCATCATCGTCGTCACCATCATCATCGTCGTCATCATCGTCATCATCATCATCGTCGTCATCATCATCATCGTCATCATTATCGTCGTCGCACCGGGATCGGGTGGACGAGGAGGGGGGAGGGGTTCTGCCAAAACATCGCGAGGTGTAGGGGGGTGTGGGGGGGTGTGGGGAGGTGTGGGGGGGTCCCGACTCAGGGGAATTGGGAGCCAGACAACCCCCTACTCGCTGGACCTCTCCCTACATCTGCTACTCCTTAGCTGTCCACAGCGTGGCGATGCGTGCACAGGGGTAGAGGGGTCGACGGGTTCCCAGCGAGGAGCCGGGGGTTTAAACAGGAGAGGTGCGCCACTCTGACAAGTTCCTTGCCCGTGTCTCCACCTCCACCACCACCTGCACCACCACCACCTGCACCACCACCACGGCCCCTCTCGTGCCCGCGTCCATATCCCCTCCGAGCACGGGGTGCCTGAGCTCCGGGCGCTGTCGATGATGACCCCCCTGCTCCTCCTCCTCCCCCTCCTCGTCGTCGTCGTCGGCGGCGGCTTCGTGACGAACTCCTCGTCGGCGTGCGCCTCGAAGGCGCCGGCCGCGCGGACGGCGTGGGACGAGGAGGTGCTGGTGGAGGCGGCGAAGAGGCACATCCTGAGCACCCTGAATCTCAAGGAGAGGCCCCGCTCCTTCGGGGACCCGGTCGCCTCGGGGGGTCTCGAGGGGGGTCCCAGGGCCCCACTGCCGCGGATCGCTCTCCGAGCGGTGATGGAGGAGGCGGAGAGGAGCGCGCGGGGTCGGAGAGACGAGGCGGAGGAGGCGGAGGAGGTGCGGCTCGTGCGGTTTGCACAGAGAGGTAGGAGGGGCGACAGAGTGAGGTGGAGTTGGTGAGGTGGAGTTGGCGAGGTTGTTGGTGGGCCATTGCGCTCGTGCATGCGAGAGAGGTGGTGAGAGGGGAGAGAGCGAAGCGAGTGGAGTTGTCGGCGGGTTGAGAGAATTGGTGCAAGGGCCAGAGAGTGAATGACAGAGTGAGGGAGTGACAGGGTGAGTTTGTGAGAGAGTGAGTGACAGGGTGAGGGAGTGAGAGAGTGAGTGACAGGGTGAGGGAGTGAGTGACAGGGTGAGGGAGTGAGAGAGTGAGTGACAGGGTGAGGGAGTGAGTTTGTGAGAGAGTCGGTGACTGGGAGAGTGAGTGACAGAGTGAGGGAGTGAGTTTGTGAGAGAGTCGGTGACTGAGAGAGTGAGTGACAGGGTGAGGGAGTGAGTTTGTGTGAGAGTCGGTGACTGGGAGAGTGAGTGACAGGGTGAGGGAGTGAGTTTGTGAGAGAGTCGGTGACTGAGAGAGTGAGTGACAGAGTAAGGGAGTGAGTTTGTGTGAGAGTCGGTGTCTGAGAGAGTGAGTGACAGGGTGAGGGAGTGAGTTTGTGTGAGAGTGGGTGACTGAGAGAGTGACAGAGTGAGAGAGTGAGTTTGTGTGAGAGTCGGTAACTGAGAGCGTGAGTGACAAAGGGAGTGAGTTTGTGTGAGAGTCGGTGACTGGGAGAGTGAGTGACAGGGTGAGGGAGTGAGTTTGTGTGAGAATCGATGACTGAGAGAGTGAGTGACAGGGTGAGGGAGTGAGTTTGTGAGGGAGTGAGTTTGTGTGAGAATCGATGACTGAGAGAGTGAGTGACAGGGTGAGGGAGTGAGTTTGTGAGAGAGTCGGTGACTGAGAGATTGAGTGACAGAGTGAGGGAGTGAGTTTGTGTGAGAGTCGGTGACTGAGAGCGTGAGTGACAAAGGGAGTGAGTTTGTGTGAGAGTCGGTGACTGAGAGAGTGAGTGACAGGGTGAGGGAGTGAGTTTGTGTGAGAGTCGATGACTGAGAGAGTGAGTGACAGGGTGAGAGGGTGAGTTTGTGAGAGAGTCGGTGACTGAGAGCGTGAGTGACAGAGTAAGGGAGTGAGTTTGTGAGAGAGTCGGTGACTGAGAGAGTGAGTGAGAGCGTGAGGGAGTGAGTTTGTGAGAGAGTCGGTGACTGAGAGAGTGAGTGACAGAGTAAGGGAGTGAGTTTGTGTGAGAGTCGGTGACTGAGAGAGTGAGTGACAGGGTGAGGGAGTGAGTTTGTGTGAGAGTCGGTGACTGAGAGAGTGAGTGACAGAGTGAGGGAGGGAGTTTGTGAGAGAGTCGGTGACTGGGAGAGTGAGTGACAGGGTGAGGGAGTGAGTTTGTGAGAGAGTCGGTGACTGGGAGAGTGAGTGACAGGGTGAGAGAGGGAGTTTGTGAGAGTCGGTGACTGAGAGGGTGAGTGACAGGGTGAGGGAGTGAGTTTGTGTGAGTCGGTGACTGAGAGAGTGAGTGACAGAGTGAGGGAGTGAGTTTGTGTGAGAGTCGGTGACTGAGTGAGGTGACTGAGTGAGGGAGTGAGTTTGTGTGAGAGTCGGTGACTGAGTGAGTGACAGGGTGAGGGAGTGAGTTTGTGAGAGAGTCGGTGACTGGGAGAGTGAGTGACAGAGTGAGGGAGTGAGTTTGTGTGAGAGTCGGTGACTGAGAGCGAGTGACAGGGTGAGGGAGTGAGTTTGTGAGAGAGTCGGTGACTGAGTGAGTGACAGGGTGAGGGAGTGAGTTTGTGTGAGGGTCGGTGACTGAGAGAGTGAGTGACAGAGTGAGGGAGTGAGTTTGTGAGAGAGTCTGTGACTGGGAGAGTGAGTGACAGAGTAAGGGAGTGAGTTTGTGTGAGAGTCGGTGACTGAGAGAGTGAGTGACAGGGTGAGGGAGTGAGTTTGTGTGAGAGTCGGTGACTGAGAGAGTGAGTGACAGAGTGAGGGAGTGAGTTTGTGAGAGCGTCGGTGACTGAGAGGGTTCGTGACAGGGTGAGGGAGTGAGTTTGTGTGAGAGTCGGTGACTGAGAGACTTTTTTCTCCTTACTCCGCATCTCCGATTAGCGCGGTTGGCTGCTTATGGCGCGAAAGAAGTTCAACACACATACACGTACATACATACCTACACACATACATACACACATACATACAACCACTACCACCACACTGCAGGTCACAACTACTGACTCACTCACTCGCTCGCTAATCCAACAACTTACCCACTCACCCACCCACCTGCTCACTCGCTCACTCACTCAGTCACCCGCTCACTCACTCACCCGCTCACTCGCTCACTCACTCACTCACCCGCTCACTCACTCCCTCACCCGCCCGCGTAATCACTCACCCACTCACCCGCTCACTCACTCACTCAGTCACCCGCCCGCTCACTCACCCGCTCACTCACCCACCCGCTCACCCACCCGCTCACTCACTCCCTCACTCGCCCGCGTAATCACTCACTCACCCGCTCACCCACTCACTCACCCGCTCACTCAATTACTCAGTCACCCACCCGCTCACTCACTCACCCACCCGCGTAATCACTCACTCACCCGCTCACTCACTCACTCACCCGCTCACTCAATTACTCAGTCACCCACCCGCTCACTCACTCACCCACCCGCGTAATCACTCACTCACCCGCTCACTCACTCACCCGTCCGTCCGCTCACTCACTCACTCACCCGCTCATTCACCCACTCAACCACCCGCTCACTCACTCACCCACCCGCTCACTCACTCACCCGTCCGTCCGCTCACTCACTCACTCACCCGCTCATTCACCCACTCACCCACCCGCTCACTCACTCACTCACCTGCTCACCCACCCGCTCACTCACTCACTCACCAGCTCACCTGCTCACTCACTCACTCACCCGCTCACTCACTCACCCGTCCACCCGCTCACTCACCCACCCGCTCACTCACTCACCCACTCACTCACCACACTCACGCAGGTCGCCTCACTGCTCTTTCTGCTTCTTCTCTGGCACTGCTCCCTCCCTTCATCGTTTCCTTCAAGCTCCTCAAAACAACAACAACCTTGCTCACTTAAACAACAACAACCTTGCTCACTTAAACAACAACAACCTTGCTCACTTAAACAACAACAACCTTGCTCACTTAAACAACAACCTTGCTCAATTGAACAAGGTTTGTTGCTGACCGCTTGGCGTTTTTGAGCCATTTGGCCCCGTGCCTAGAAACTGCCATTGGCAATTATCAATCTATAAATAAATATATAATTAGACCGCTGAGCTTGCAACCCGACTGATGACCTGAACTCGCATCCAGATATCAGCCACCTGTGACGAACGCATGGCGAGTTGATGGGCTTAGCAAGAGTCGCCAATGACGTACACACAGAGCCCGATAGACTAAATGTTGATATCGACTACAGACGCACCGAGAGAGATCCATCGACCCACACAGACTGAGCTCTGGCTAAAGTTTACTTGGCTCAAGTTGGGCACTTAATTTGGCTGAACTCCATCTCTGAGAATTAACGTTACTCTTGTAGCAGCTACACGGGTAGCTGCTGTGTGATCGTGACGAGGTGTGATCGTGACGAGGTGAGATCGTGACGAGGTGAGATCGTGAAGAGGTGAGATCGTGACGAGGTGAGATCGTGACGAGGTGAGATCGTGACGAGGTAAGATCGTGACGAGGTGTGCCTCGTGACGAGGTGAGATCGTGACGAGGTGTGCCTCGTGACGAGGTGTGATCGTGACGAGGTGTGCCTCGTGACGAGGCAAGATCGTGATGAGGTGAGATCGTGACGAGGTGTGATCATGACGAGGTGAGATCGCGGCGTGGTGAGATCGCGGCGTGGTGTGCCTCGTGACGAGGTGAGATCGTGACGAGGTGTGCCTCCTGTCCTCCTCTCCCCACAGACGCCACGCGCCACATTCTCCTCTTCTCTCTGCCACTCGAGGAAGGGCTGGACGTGAGCAGGGCGCATCTGTGGCTCCACGTGGCGGCGGCGGCGGCGGACGTCCATGGCCTCGGCCACTGCACCGTCACCATCTCGTCCCCATCAGTCACCTCCGGTGGTGCTGGCGGCGCTGGCGGTGTCAACGGCAGCGGGGAGGCTGTGGGGCGCACTCACTGGAAGGTCCGGGTACGGGTGTCTGACCCGAGCCGCTGGGTTCGCGTGTGTCTGACTCGACCGGTGCGCTCCGCTCTGCGCCGTGGGGAGGGAACCCTCGCCCTGGTGATTGCGAAGGACGGCTGCGGCGGTGGCGATGGCGATGGCGGCGGTGGCGATGGCGGCGGTGGCGGTGGCGATGGCGGCGGTGGCGGTGGCGATGGCGGCGGTGGCGGTGGCGGCGGTGGCGGCGGTGGCGGTGGCGATGGTGGTGGTGGTGGTGGTGGCGGTGGCGATGGCTGCGGCGGTGGCGATGGCGGCGATGGCGGTGGCGGCGATGGCGGCGGTGGTGGCGATGGCGACTGCGGCGGTGGTGATGGTGATGGCGGCGGTGGTGGCGGTGCTGGCGGTGCTGGCGGTGTCGCCGGGCAGAGCGCTCAAGGGCGAAACCACGGGGCGATCTCCACGCAGGACACGTCGCGAGATCCGGGGCAGCGGCGTCAGCGGCGGCGGCAGCAGCAGCAGCAGCAGCGCCGAAAGCGAGACGATGCAGGACGGCGGCTCGCGGGGCGAGGCGCCACAGGGCGGCACGGCGAACAGAACACCGGGGGGCAGCAGGAACCATTTCAGGACCTTGGCCAGCGACCCTTCCTGGTGATGAGCGGATCGCGCGGTGACTCAGCCGCCTCCTCCTCCGCCTCCTCCTCCTCCTCGTCGTCGTCGTGGTCGTCCAGTCGAGTCCGGCGCGACGGCGGCGACTCGGACTGCGAGGCCAGCGAGGGGCGCTGCTGCCTGCAGCGCTTCTACGTGGACTTCGAGAAGATCGGCTGGCACGACTGGATCCTCGTGCCCGAGGGCTACTTCGCCAACTTCTGCCGCGGCTCGTGCCCGCCGCACGCCGCGGGCACCCCGGGCACGGCCGCGTCGTTCCACAGCGTCCTCGTCAACCAGTACCGCCTCAGGGGCCTGCAGCCCGCCAGCTCGCGGCGCGCCTGCTGCGTGCCCACGCGCCTCGGGGCCATGTCGCTGCTCTACTATGACGAGGACGACCACGTGGTGAAGAGGAACGTGCCCGGCACGGTGGCGGAGGCGTGCGGGTGCGCCTAGGGGTCGCGTCGACGCGTCCGATGGGGTTGGAGGAAAGTGTAATAAATGTGCAGAGGTTTAAACTCATCACGGCGACGAGATTCTCTGTAAGGGCTCTATTGCCGGTTTATAAACCACTACACTCACGTACAGAATCACCGGATGACACCAGAGGAAGGTGCTTGTACACTTGGTCCTTCCCGTGGACCGTCCCGTGACCCGCTTAAACTCCACGGCCTATCCTGACCCCAGCTCCCCACTGGTGGACCCCGAACGGGGCTCCGGGTGCCGAGCGGCGCGTTTTCCGTTCCTCTCGGCTCCCCACAATGACCCTGCCCCTCCGCCCGTGGTCCCCCTTAGGTACCCCTCCCCTCTGGGTAGCATGACGTCACCCTATGACGTCATCAAGCTCTTTCCTGCCGATGACCTCACTTGCTCCCACTGCTCCTCCACAAATGTATTGAGAGCCCCGGTATTTCGCGAGTCTTTGGATTGTCCGTCCTGAGTCTACGCGTCTCTATTTACGTCTCTTCGGGACTCTTGACGATGACGATGACGACGACGACGACGGTGATGATGATGATGATAATTTACTGATTTACCCAGGAAAGCCACGCGGAGTTGGAGGACTATTTTGCAAGAATGGTCCTGCTGCTGCATTGCGGTTTTTTACGTTCAGATCTTTTAAAGCCAAATTATCGACGAGTTGTGATAATTATTATTATTATTATACACGTGGGATGAAAGCGGAGCACCCGGATAAACCTCACACGTGCGAGAGGGGGCAACGCTCAATCCCACCTAGAGACGGAAACAGATGGCAACCGGTCCTACTGCTTGTACTGCCCTCTTGTGGCGAGCCAGGCAGGGTACTGGCACGTCCACGTGGCCCAAGGGAAAGGGAGTTGCGTAGCACCATCTGTGCAGTGATCAACCAACCCCTCGCTGCTGCCCCCACAGCGCTGGGTTAGAGGCAGCCGCGTGTGAGTCGTTGACGACCCAGGCTGCTTGAGAACACGGTTTCAATCACAGCTTGCTGACACCCGGATTTGAACTTAGGTTGTCAGTGATGTGCCGTCAATAATAGAAGTTTGTTTGGGGGTGATCGCGTAAATATATAAATGCGTCGTTAAACCCGCCACCACCCGACACATCCAACTAGTAAGGGTTGTCACGTAAACAGAACGTGGCCACTTCGTCACTAGTACAGCAACACCGCTGTGCGCTGTACACTTTTATATATTGATATATTTCCGCGATCTAACCCCACAAACCTCTATTAATGGATGGTGTTGTTCGCGAAGGCCCTGATATGCCAGCTCAGCGTTTTTCCTTTTTGTCTTCTTCTAATGCATGGACACCGGTTAATGGGCACGGGACCAAAGACACAGAACGCCAAACTCCCAGCAACAAAGCAGCACGGTTACAGTCGTAAATAGATCGTAAATATATCAGACCTCGTGCGTTTCTTGAACGAGGTGATGCGAGCTTGGGAAATCAGACGATGCGAGGGGATTCCAACCAGGACTGGTAAGTGAGGAGGGGCTGGTTCTGGTTGGTGCAGCTTGGGTAGAAATGGGAAGTGTGGTGATGGTGGTGGGGGTGGTGTTGGAGAGGCGTGAGTGGTGCGTGGTGATGCGAGAAGGGGTCGTTGATAATCGGTTGCGGTGGGCGATGGAGCTTTGATGATACTCGTGACGGATAGCGGTGATGAGTGGTGGATAGGTTCTGTGACTCTGGTGGTGGTGAGTGGTGGACGGGTTCTGTGACTGGTGGTGGTGAGTGGTGGACAGGTTACGTGACTCTGGTGGTGGTGGTGGTGAGTGGTGGACAGGTTCTGTGACTCTGGTGGTGGTGAGTGGTGGACAGGTTACGTGACTCTGGTGGTGGTGGTCAGTGGTGGACAGGTTCTGTGACTCTGGTGGTGGTGGTGAGTGGTGGACAGGTCACGTGACTGGTGGTGGTGGTGAGTTGTGGACAAGTTCTGTGACTCTGGTGGGGGTGAGTGGTGGACAGGTTACGTGACTCTGGTGGTGGTGGTGAGTGGTGGAGAGGTCACGTGACTCTGGTGGTGGTGAATGGTGGACAGGTTACGTGACTCTGGTGGTGGTGAGTGGTGGACAGGTCACATGACTCTGGTGGTGGTGGACAGGTCACGTGACTCTGGTGGTGGTGAGTGGTGGACAGGTCACGTGACTCTGGTGGTGGTGAGTGGTGGACAGGTTACGTCACTCTGGTGGTGGTGGTGGTGAATGGTGGACAGGTTCTGTGATTCTGCTGGTGGTGGTGGTGAGTGGTGGACAGGTTACGTGACTCTGGTGGTGGTGAGTGGTGGACAGGTTCTGTGACGCTGGTGATGGTGAGTGGTGGACAGGTTCTGTGACTCTGGTGGTGGTGGTGAGTGGTGGATAGGTCACGTGACTCTGGTGGTGGTGGTGAGTGGTGGACAGGTTCTGTGACTCTGGTGGTGGTGGTTGTGGTGAGTGGTGGACAGGTTACGTGACTCTGGTGGTGGTGAGTGGTGGACAGGTTATGTGACTCTGGTGGTGGTGGTGAGTGGTGGACAGGTTATGTGACTCTGGTGGTGGTGAGTGGTGGACAGGTTACGTGACTCTGGTGGTGGTGGTGAGTGGTGGACAGGTTCTGTGACTCTGGGGGTGGTGAGTGGTGGACAGGTTACGTGACTCTGGTGGTGGTGGTGGTGAGTGGTGGACAGGTTCTGTGACTCTGGTGGTGGTGAGTGGTGGACAGGTTACGTGACTCTGGTGGTGGTGTTGAGTGGTGGACAGGTTCTGTGACTGGTGGTTGCATCTTAACTCATTAAACCCGCCATGGCGTTTAACCATCTCTGCCAGCTCTCCATCACGAGAGACATTCACGCGAACTGATTGCACTTACGTTATCCTGTTTTAAGTGCTATTTATGTCAACGTATAACGTATTAATATATTCAATATTTAATGATTGACATAATATATATATCACGCTTATTCTTGGTTCTTTCGGTAAAGTCACGTAGAAGGGGAACAATAAGATAATAATATAAATATAAAACAATCAGGTGTGAAAACCACAGCAAGAAATGTTCTTGCTGTGGTTTTCTTGCTGTGGTTTTCACACCTAATGATGATTGCTTGTGTTGCAGTCGAAACGTCGTGAGAATTTTATTGTTTTATATTTGTATTATTTTATTGTTTCACTCCTACGTGGCTTTACCGAAAGAACCAAGAATTTGAATCCCTGCAGTCATGAAAGCTTTAAATCAAAATGTATCACGCTTTTTTAAGATAAAATACAAGCTCCCCTGAATCTAGGTATGCGTATAAATTGTTGAGGAATTTCAGATTATTTTAAAATAAAAAAAAATAGATAAAACCTCAATTGGTGCTGAATAAAGTCTACGCCCTATACTAGATAACACGCGTTCTTGCCTCTGTGTGTGTGTGTGATTCAATTTCAACATCTCATTACTGGAAGAGGGGGGACCCGCATGTAAAAGCATAGCCTTCAGCGAGTGGTGTATTTTTGGTCAGTATTTTGACCATTGTTGTTAACACAACTGGTTAAAACCCGGGACTTTTAATGTCCCGGGAAGACTGGCAGAATTCCGAGGACAGCGGCGACTGCTTCCCCAAAAAAACACGAGGAACAATCCGGGAAAAATCCGGGACAGGTGGCAACCCTGGTAACCCCAGGATGCACAACCGTTGCATTCATGGAGGTGGTCACAAACATCCCGATATAGAACGCCGTAGCTTGGGAAATAGTTGTCTGTGGTTCCCCACGCCTCGGAATCATCCTCTCCATAAATCAATCTCTCTTCGCACGCACGCTCTGCATTATTAACGAGGAATGTGTTATTAAGATTATTAATGTGTTATTAAGATAAGCTGTGTTTGTGTAGCACTGCCATGTCAGCACCACACTCGTTCCCCCCGCCCGCAACGGCAGTGCTGGAGGATTATAATCACATCGCAGGATCGTGGGAGATGGCAGAGGCTGAGGGGGGGGAGGCTTTCATCCAGCAGTGGACTGCCCTTAGCTGCTCATGATGACGCATCGCAACTAAAGTTATGCAACCTCATTATGAGACTTCCTTTGCCAGTAACAAGATATAGCAATAGGTTTTACCCTTTTAACTGGCACAAAAACTGACAGCTTTATTCAAGGCATCATGTTGGCAATAACCACAACACAAGCAGTCCAAATGCAAACAAAAGAGACAACTCTGATAATAATATGCACTGTCCTTGAATTTGATTGGTCCACACCCGAGACGGCTTTTCTTAGAGCCTAGTCTCCACTGGTGTTGGACCAGAAGACGTCAAACAGATGCCTTGCAAACATGATGCCTTGAATAAAGGTGTCAGTTTTTATGGCAGTTAAAAGGGTAAAACCTACTACTATATCTTGTTACTGGCAAAGGTCTCATAATGTAAATGCTCACCCCGAGCCCCCGAAACTCTGATGGTGCGCTGTTTTTGAGTTGTACGCCTTTTGGCGTCTTCTGGTCCAGCACCAGTGGAGACTAGGCTCTAAGAAAAGCCGTCTCGGGTGTGGACCAATCAAATTCAAGGACAGTGCCAATATTATTATCAGAATTGTCTTTTTTGTTTGCATTTTGACTGCTTGTGTTGTGGTTATTGCAAACATGATGCTTTGAATAAAGGTGTCAGTTTTTGTGCCAGTTAAAAGGGTAAAACCTATTACTTTATGCAACCTCGTTGGAGCTGACCCATGTACACGACACAATACGATCCAGTTGATTGACACTGTTGTTATGTGTGCGAGTCTATGGGTCTCTATGTGAGTGTATGGTGCTCTGTGTGAGTGTCTGGGTTTCTAACTATACACGAGTCCAACGAGTTGATGGGACTAATTGGTATTTGGGAGGACAAAGACAAATTGTGGTGATAATGTTGCGCCGGTCCTAGGCTCCGGACGAATTGATAATAATTGGATCACAATAGCAGTGGGTGATGATGATGAATACAGTGCTGGGCGTCACCAGACCAGTTCTCCTGCGAAGCTGCGTGGGCTGCGAGCGCCCGTGTGGTGGAGAAAGCGGTGATGATGCTGAAGCTACTAATAGGGCATTTCAGTTTCTCAGCGGGTCTCGATGTGAGTCAACGAGTCTCTGTGCTAGTCTGTGGTTTTATACGCGAGCCTTGGGTCTCGAGAAATGTCTCTCTCCTCGTGTCTCCCCATGCGTCCCTCCAGTGTCTCAACAAATCCCCGTCTGTCCTTGCGTGCCTCTCCTCGTCTCTCCCATACTCTCACGTCTCCCTCCCCACACGTCTCTCTCTCCACCCGTGCCTCCTGGTCTCCCACCCGCGTCTCATGAAACGCTTCGAGTGACCGAGCCAAGGGCGATTTGTCTCTCGATTCTCAATCGCTTTCCCGTCCACTCGATTGCATGAAGTTTGGAGTAATATCAGGTGACGTGTGTTTTTCCTGTTCTGTTAATGAAAAATGAAGGTAAGAGCATTGTGACCCTCATAGGGAGGGCTGTGTAATGCATTAAACTAGTATAAACGAAAATGTTTATTTTGCCAGGTAAGACCCGCCGAGCTAGATGGTTATTTTTTAGAAGCGACCTGGCCACAAATTATAGCTCAACGAAGTGGCTTATTACGTGGAAATTTAAAGCAGGAGCTTGTTTCTAAATATGGGGGACCCGGAAGAACAATGTAAACTCAAAATACACAGCAGGCGTCAAGGTCGGGATCGAATCCACGACCTCCTGTATACCAGGTGAGGTAGTTAACATCTCCTATCCACCGTGGCCTCCGCACGTCGATTGGCCATGGGTTCAGAGGTCAAGCAGCTGCGATCGGAACGAGCGACAATTTGACAGCCTTCAATGATCGCTCTTCTCATTACCACCGCCAGGTCTTCCCCCTTGGTAGCCCTCTCGTGGGTCCATCTAACACACCCTTCCCAGCTGGAGGTGACTTGAACCTGCAAAGGCTCTGCGATTCAGAGGGGGGCTACTTTTAAGCGATGGTTCAGCTGGAGAGTCTCGTGTTTGCGAGCGCACAGACTCTCTTCCAGACATCAAGAACGGCACCACCAGCACCATCGCCACAACTCGTCTCGCCCCGACGCTCAACCTCCAAAGTCGGAAAACGCTGGCGAATCGGTTACACAATAAATGCGAGTTGGGGAAAACAATCGCAGAGGAGCTGCATGTCAGTGTCTTGGCATCAGATTTTGGACAAAAACTAAAATTGACATTGGGTTTAATGTTCAGCGGTAAGAGCTTAATATGAATGTTCTGATAATTTCCCAGAAGGGTCCCCGAAACCCACCTGCATGCATTTCCGTGTTTTTATTTTTTGGCTTTCCTTGTCATACGAAAGTAATTGGATTTGGGTATTGCACATCTACTGGGGTTGGTAAAATGAGTAAACCACTTTGTGGGGATGTCAAGATTGGTCGTCATGTGGATATAATCGCTCCCACCATAGGAATATAGAATATACACCACTGGATGTTGCTGTTGAGCACCGCCATCAATCGCATTCTAGGAAATCACTTGAGGCCTACAAAATACATAAGGCACCGTTTAATGGTAACGGACAAAAAACCGTCAACGATAGTGCGGCATACTGTTTATTGCTTTTTGCATCCTTTTGTGGCAGTGATTCACCACCTTGCCTGTGCAGCCGTTTCACTTTAGATTTGAGTGCGGGCGGGTGGGTGGAGACATTCAAAATCGGCCCTCGTGCCACGGCGTGACACAGGCTGGTGACGAAAGGGCCGCCGAGGTGAGCGCCTCCCACTCGGGGCTACCATGTGACAATGACGATGTGTTGTGGCCGAAATCGTACAAACGAGGCAACAGTCACCTACCACATACATAATACCAAGTTCTCGTGCCAGGTGGACCTACGATTCCCAGGCCCGATTATACATATACAGGGTGCTTCAAAAAATATTAACACTTACATCGGACTATCGATAACACCGCAACATAACAAATGTATGTTAATAGGTTCAAAAAGTCAGTCTCCACTTGTTCGCCATCAGTCAACACGTGGCCTGGAATCTTCTCCAGGTGGTCTCCAGAGCCCGGAGGCACATTTCTTGTATTGTTGCAAATTCTCAGAAGTGTTAAAAATGTTTGAAGCACCCTGTATATTTAGACATCAAATGTCTCCTTCCGAGAAGACTTCCACCACTTACCAAGAGGACAAATATTCCTTATCCTCGAATCGTGAATGGGGAAAAAGGTAATCTACCCACGCAAACATTATATTCAAGCTTCTAAAGTGCTGTTAGCAAGCACCCGCAAAGGTGGGCAAAGCACAGGAAGGGCAGGGGTGTCCAGTACCACTCCAATGATCCAAATGTATTCCCCACGTGAATGAGGTGTACAAACTGCACCAGGCTGGGAATTGAACTTAAGGCTGCATGTTTGCAGCCCAGTACATTAACTACAAAGATCTCCCGTATAGCCTTTAACAGACTGTTAGGACAAGTTCTTAGCGAGCACCTATGAAGGTCGGCAAGGCACACGAGGGAGTGGGTGGCCTGCAACACGCCCGACCACCTTTGTCTCCCGAGTGGCAATGTTTACACACCGCACCAGGTACTCCTTTGAGGCTGAGTCGACCTAGGAGGGAGGCCCATGGCCGGTTCAGATAATCGTCACCGGTGTTGGTGGCCTTGAGTGGGGAATTCAACTTGGGTTGCCAGGTTTGGAGCGGGCTACCGCTCCCCACACCACCGACACATATCCACAAACAGGCGCACACAGGGAGACGAACAACGGGTGTGCAGACAGCCCTCCCATACAAGTTTATTTGTGTTTTGTTGCGTCACACTTCGCAGTAACCGCTCCGCGGCGAGGCTGGGCAGCCCCTAAATGCCTAGACGCTCACAGGAGCGCTCATCGGTCAAATCTGGAACATGGAAACGACGGCCAACAAAAACCCCTCCACACCCACCCTCCACAGTTCCTTGTTGCGGTAAAAATATCGTAATAAACAGCACACGAGAAGGGACTTTACAGGGATTTTTGCTTTTCTTGCCCAGTGCAGCACAACTGCGCCTAGGATCCCAAATCAGGGGTTCACAGGGGGCACCCCCCCCCCCCCCCGGACCCTTGCACAGACCCCCTGGCGAGGGGATATGTGCGGCGGAGGCCCGACGCCAGAGTCCGTGGCCTCACACGCAGACCACCGCGCTTACCCGCCCCCCCTCCCAACCCCCCCTCCCAACCCCCCCAACGAGGTTCACCTTAAACAAGGACAGTGCATTAATTTCCGTTCGTCCGATGATCGTTCGGTCATTCGTTCGATCGATCGAGCATTCGCAAAAGGCGTCACACACGCGCGATTCGACGGGAAGTCCCCCGTTTCAGCAGCAATGCCTGGGTATATTCTGGCCGCCTCTCCCGTCCCGAAACCATTCACATATCGAGAGCGTCGCGTGAGACTACACGGGGGGGAGGGGAGCAGGAGGGATGGAGGGGACGTGGAGGCTCTCGATTGGCGGTGACGTACACTGGAGCAACCGCTTGTTGTAGCGAGGATGGCGGACAAGCGAAGATTGGCGGACGCACGTGCCAAAGGAGCCCGCTGGCCTTGTGGCAGAAGGACGAAAGGTCACCGACAGTCCCATGTCAAAGCCGCCCACCCCTTTTCAGAGGACGTCGTCACATCAGTTTTGTAACAATGTTCATTTCAGCTCTTTACGGAATAATTACGTGCGCTTCAATTCATTTAATAATTACCGTACTTTAAGCTTTTCCTGTATTCTTTTTATGCATTAGGTATTAAATGTATTTGTATTGAATTTATATTGTGTACAAAAACGAAATTAAAATCCATACTATAACAAAGGACCAAACAAAAAAACAATTTTAACGGCGGTTGAGTTTACCGAAACGTATGTTCACACAACGTCCTTTTACGTTTAAATTTAACTTCCTTTTATCGTACAGAACTCACAACACCAGATGCCGGGTAGGGGGCAAGTTTCTCCTCGCCCTATAGACACTCCTGGCAAAGGATCTACATTCAATGCAGCCAGGACAGCACTGCCGGGGCATTTCTCTCCGCGAATGTGAGAGAGCGATGGAGCAGGCAGGCAAGCAAGACAGCTGGGCTGGCCCCTCATCACTCCCTCTGTTCCAATCCTGTCTTGTCCCCGCGCTAGTAGGGGTAACCACCCCGGTTACGGTTCCCGTCCGATCCGTAAGCCGGGTGCGAGAAGCCAATGCCCGTTTTCGGTGAGCCCCAGGATGCCGGTGCCGGCACGCCGGCGGCGGCTGCGACGTTTCCAGGAGGCGTGTGAGCAAGTCCCGACGCGTTCACCGCCGCTCCCGCCGGCTGCCCTGCGCCGCCGATGGCCGTAGAGTTCGCGCCGCCGCCACCGGCCCCGTACGCCGGGCCGTCGCTGTACACGTGGGGCTTCCCGGCGCTCCGCAGAGCCGATTCGGCCGAAGGCCGATGGCCGAACTCGAACCTCAGGTCCTGATCGCCGAGGAACTGCTGCAGGGCTTGCCCGCCAGACAGGAAGCTGGAGGCGGCCGCTCCGGGGGGGTAGGGGTCCGAGTAGGCCCCACCGCCTGCACCGCCGCCGCTCGCCGTCGAGCCCAGGCTGTCGATGCGGTGACGCGAGCGTTCCGAGCCGTATCCCTCCGCCGCGGCGGAGTAGTGATCCGAGCCGCCGTAGCGGTCCGCGCTGCGGTAACCCTCGTTGGAGTAGGAGCTCCCGACGGCGCCGCCGCCGCCGCCAAACACGTCGGACGGCAGCTGGCGCCGGCAGTCGTAGTCGTAGTCCTCGGCGCCGCCGCTGCCGTCGCCCTGCTGTTGCTGCCGGTGCTGCACCAGGAGCTGCATCAGCGCCGCCTTCACGCCGGCGTTTGGGTCGCCCGGTAGAGGCGGCCTGCCGTCGCTGTCTTCCCGGAAGTCCTGGCCGGTGCCGGAAAAGTCGGCATCGGACGAGGAGGGGGGCGGTGGTTCAGGGGGCTCTGGCGGACGTTGGTTTGGGGGCAGGATGCGCTGCTGCTGCTGTTGCTGCGGCTGAGTTTGCGGGGTGCGCGGTCGGTGCAGCGGCGTGTGCGGCGCTGACGACGGCGGTAGAGGCGGCAGCGCCGGTTGATGCTGCTCATCCGGAGGAGACGGGGACACGTTGGAGAGCTCGGCAGACGAGCGGGCAGAGAAGCCGTCAGAGCCTGGGTCGGGAGAAACACAAAAAGGTCGTGTGACAGGACATACGGGACCGACAATACAAAAGAATATCCATTCTGTATCGAATCGCGACTCCCATATCTTGACAATTAATTGAATTCACTACATCCCTGGTATTCTGTATAGGACGGGGGTGGAGCGGTGGACATCAGTTGGCGTACTGATATATGAACCTGGCGACCCGAGTTTGATTCCTGACCATGGCTAACAGCGGCAGAAAGTGACGTCCAGGCCCTCTTGGCATCTTGGGCCTTTGGTATTGCGCTCGGCAACCTGTGATAATAAAGAAAACCACATGGTACGGGCACCTGAGTCCGGTTTGTGCTGGTACGACTGTCGTGGATACGCCTCCTCCGTCGCTCGCATCGGAACAGAGTTGGACTGCGCCACGGTGACGGGCGTGGAGGGAGTGGTGGGCAGCGGTGGTGGGGGCTTGTGCTGCTCCGCTGTCGGCGCTGGGAGAGGGTTGTTCCCACCCAGTGCTCCCTGCTGCTGCTGCTGCCCACCGGCCTCCTGCCCCCCCGCGCCCTGCAGCAGCTGAGCCAGCAGCAGCGCCACCACGTTCTGGGCCGCATCACCATCGTGGCCGCCAGATGCCGGGGGCTGAGAGTTACTCGGCGCCTGCGAACAGACGGTCAAGACAGGTGGATGTTATAACTCAGTGGAGTGTTAAGTCCACCATGGACGAGAGTGTCGTGTGACACTTCAATGTCGTGTCATTAACAGGACAAAGCAAACCAAGGCGATGTGAAGGTGCAATGCCCACACACACGTGTATTAGATTTAATATCCCAACAGCGTTGTATACAAATGCAAGGCAAACCCTGGACTTGTTTAAACTTCACTGAGTCTCATCGGTAGGGTGTGGGGTCTGATAGAGTAAGACAAAGCAACCTCTTAATTTTCAAGCTATTATAGTCGAGTATATTTTAGGCTATCAAAATGCAGATGTGAACCTCCATTAGTGAGATATCGCCAAGGTGTGTATATACGGGGCACTTTTTTTATTGTGGGTGTCATCTTATTTTAAACATACCTCATGACACGAGACAGAATTAGGTGGTAGCTCCACTCAAATGAGTATATGGGTAGCTTTATTCTTCCCATTTACAGCCCTGAGCCAATGGTGAAACTCCATATTCTTATGGCGTGGCTGATTTAATCCAGAGGACAGCTGTTATTGACTTCCCACAGAGTAGCACTCATTTTGATCAACCTTGAGAGGTAAGATGATTGGCCATGTGAAACCTAGATTGAGTTGCAACTTTCCGATTGCGAGTATTTTCGGGACAATGCCGGCAATTTAAAACAAAAGTTTCCACATCGGATTGCTGCTCTTCCTAGTTGGCAACTGATAAGTACATTCTCAAACAGATCACAGATATTCTCATGGCCACTTTGATGATTAACAGAACAAATGCCGCTACCTGTGCCGCCACCGGTGGTGGCTGTGGCGGTCGTGGCGCCTCCCCTTGGCTCCCACCACTGCCGCCGCTGTTCTGCTGCTGTTGCCTCACGACGGCGCCCAACAGCCCGAGCGGCAGCGTGAGGCCGCTGAGCAGCTGGCGCATCTCCGCCGTCACCTGGATGTTCAACGCCTGCGCCAGGTGCGCCAGGCTGAGCGTCGCCTGCGACTGCAGCAGGTTCACGAGGATGGCCAGCTCGGCGGCGGACAACTGCTGCGGCTGTCCTGCTGCACTCAAACGCACACATACACAGACGCGGGCTGTTGGGACAAGTGCTGTTGTCTAACAACAAGAAGGATCACAGCCGGGAGGAGACTTCTTACCGGCTATGCCCGAGTCGTTGGGCGGCGCCGGCTGTTTCTGTGGGGTGTTGTTGCGGCTCTCGTCAGCCGTGCCACCGCTCAGCCCGTCCTTGCGCGTCAACTTTGGCGCCACAGCTTCCTCCACGCCGCCCGCCTGCTTCTGCCGTCGCCTCTTCTTGCTCCACAGCTCGTGGCAGTCCTGCCACAGCGGCAAGCTGGTGCAGCGCAAGGCCGGGAGGAGGGTAAGTATACAGGGGAAAGGGTTATATGAAATGAGGTGAGGTTGGCTGAACCGGATGGTTACTGTTCCTGCATAGCAACCCAATCCTCCTCTTCCAAGACATTTAAAATTCCCATTGTAAAAATATAATATACATACATTTGAAGGCATCTCAACCGATGCCCAACACAGAGAATATATATTTTAGTTAAAGCATGGAGATCTTTCCTCCGAATAATAGTAAAAAAAAGCATGCATAAGGCATGGAGTATGCAACACTTTCCAACACGCGTTTGTCCTCAGAAGTATTTAAGTAGCAGTACGGAATTCGGCGAGTAGAGTTCAGGCTAAACTCTTTTGCACATTAGCAAATCACCCCCTTTACTCTAGCTTGTCTCCAAGTCCAAGGAAAACCTTTCATCAATGTGGTCGGTTTTCAATGGAGTATGTCCCGAAGAGCAACACAATATTACACTGCACTTTGGTTCATATTAGATCATCTTTGCGACAATTATCTAACATGTCTCTGTTATGGGCGGATAGAGATAATAATGCATACATTGGTGTGCTGAACTAGTGACGAATTGGCATGTTTTGTTTACGTGACAAACCTTACTAATTGGCCGTGTTGGGTGGTAGCGGGTTTAAAGACGCATTTATATTTATGCAATTTAACCATAAAAACCTCATGGATAAAATTGGTCGCGAAAGCCTAAATGTTAAACATTATTCTCAGTTTAACATGTAGGCTTTCGCGACCAATATTATTCATAATAAAGGTTTTTGGGGTTAGATCGCGCTATTTATAAATGTGTCGTAACCCTCCACCACCCGACACGGCCAATCAGTAAATATTGTCACGTTGACAAAACACATAGTTCACTACTTTAGCCTACCGGTGTGTTGAAGAGTGAATCCACAACATTTACACATTTTTGAGTACGACTTTTCGCTGGTAATAACATCCAGCATCATGGGGCAATTTGCCAGAATCGTGAAGCGCTCCACCTGCTCCCGGTCTTAGATAGAGCAGCAGGGTGACGTCATCATTTAACCCAATCAGATGCAGATAGGGGGGGTATTGTAATTATATAATAAATTAGTAATCAGTTAATTGTTATGATTAGTAATCAGTTGTAGATTAGTAATTAGTTGTAATGTGTATTATTTAATAACTGTACCCAATCACTATACCCAATCATGTGCAGAAATCAGAGGTGGCGGAGGGGGGGGTTATTGTAATTATATAATAGATTACAAAAATAGTAAATGTTGTGGATTCACTCTTCACACACCGGTAGGCGAAAGTAGTGAACTATTTGTCTTTTGTCAACGTGACGCATTTTACTGATTGGCCGTGCTGGGTGGTGGAGGGTTACGACACATTTATAAATAACGCGATCTAACCCAAAAACCTTTATTATGAATTATTATTCTCGTTATCAATGTCCGCCGTGTGTTTGTAAGCGGTGTGGCTCACTCGGGTGGGGGCATCTTGTAGGGGTCGATGTCACGCAGGAAGTCGCTCTGGAGGGCTTGCTCTGCGGTGCACCGTTTGCTGGGGTCGAGCGCCAGCATGTGATCAAACAGGTCCAGGGCGGCCGTCGGGAGCCTGGGGTTACACATACATTATACATAGATGGTGATAAAACTCCCGGGAATGCGCGCGTGTGGCACTTGTGCCAGACTAAGTGCACCTTACTATACAAAAAACACAACCGCATAAAATGTTATCACCACAACACTTAACGCACATGTAAACGCGTGTAGATGCGCCAAACGTGTTTGTCTCAGAATGGGATTAGTTACAAGCTGGAAAGCCAGGACTTCAACGGAATATCTATTTTTGTTAATAGATTAATGTGTGCAAGGAAACCCTCAAACGCACGTGCAAAAGAACGTAAAATGTTTGGAACGCATGTTTGTATCCAGCAGTCCTAAGGTGTTGGGGGTAGTTGGATAATCGACCCTACAATTTTGACACCGAGTCAAATGTACTTTCATGCGATTAAAGAGAAAATATGACCAATACTTGTACAATACTTACTGCCACATAATATTCCAAATTTCCATGTAATGCAAAAAATTACTTTAGAACAAACATACAATGTACAGCCCTTGTGTCAATCGACTACTGGATGAAGGCCTCTTCACACGATCAGTCATTGGGATTATTTGACCATAACTCACCACAACAGTCAGTGCGGGTTTGGTGAAATGAGGTTGTGGGGCACACAACGAGCTCAGATATCGATTGCCACTGATGTTAGCTGTTGATGGGAATCAAAGCTCACGAGCGCTTCACGCGCTACCCATCTCACCTTGCTAACCGCCGTACCTGTATTCCAACGTGAACATCGTTTTCACGTCTCTTTATTGAGAGTTGGCGATTTTACGGAACACGCGCGACGCCCGCGCTCACTGCTCACTGCTCACATTGAGAACTCCTCACGCAGCCGGCGCCGGTACTGCTTCTTGGGCTTCATGGTGTGGAAGTAGGGCAGCTTGATGACGTCGGGCCACACGGCGGGGCACGGTGTCCCACACAGGCGGCTGCCAAAAAAATCACCGCAAGCGTAATTCCAGATGAACCAAGGGAAGTACAAAATTAGTCCCCAGGGACCACTGGAGTTACGAAGCACAAGTGAACAAAGCACTACACATAGGTAAGAGTACCCATGAAGTTGGAACCGCTAAGTTTCCAAATGAACATCTCACGTGTTTTATGCAACTTGACGGTAGCTCAGCAAGGTGCATTATCAATTTTGCAAGATCACACCACTGTGACATCACAGCAGCGCAACTCTCCTAAGTGATGTCAGAAATGTTGAAGGGTCTTTTTATCTTATCGACAAAGCTTCAGACTTGAGTAGGACAGCTTCGGATATGCACTCTATGCAAACAGCTGTAAATTAACAGTGAAGTGTTTTTTGTTAGCTAGTTACTTTTCTTTTACTCGGTGTGAACCAATAATGACTGTCTCATTTTACAAAGATGACCTAGGTCAATAAGTGACTTCGTCCTCCAAGGAGGTGCATGCTGGTGTAGATATATTACACTATTTCTAAGTAATAAAACACAACATTGCTTGCTTCAAGAGCTGAGTTGCATAACAACAACAGTTATGCAACTCGCCAGAGGAGTTATGGCAGGCTAAGTGGGTTGTAGGACAATGCAAAATATTCAAATTGCAGATGGCTGGTAAGAATGAGGTGCTTGTGTGGGAGGGAGAATCAGTTACAGAGATGCAGCATTGGGCTACAGACTAGGCTAGAGTTGAGTGGGGGGGTAGGGGGTCAGTGGCCAGTGTTAGGGCTGGTAAGGTACAGACCTGATGAGCTCCAACTGTGCCATCTCCTGGTTGGCCTGGAAGATGGGCTTCCTGGTGAACAACTCTCCCAGGATGCAGCTGTAAGGCACCACACATGCACGCCACCGCAAACTCGTCAAATTCACCAAAAGCTTAATTTTACCATATGACTGGGCAGAGATATGGGAGTAGTTTAACTCTGGGGTCGATTAAAGAAGTACCACTAGACTGGTCCCGTACCAAGAGAATGAGTAATTTATATCCATAGTTCAGGGCAACCAAAGGTGATTGAGTGCTAACCCATTGCTTGATTGAGCAAGACCATTCTTTCAACTTCGACTTAATTTCAATAACATCAATATTTTACCAATGAAACACAACACACTTAACTTTGTTGTTCACTCTACCTCTCTAGATACGTGAAAGGAAGCAGGGCCATTGCCCAAACCATCGCCTACATATATTTTTACAGTCTTATTGACCAATGTGCTAATTGTGCGTGTGCAGCACTGGAAGTGCAGCATCAACAAATTATGTTTAATATTTTACCAATGCCTTTCTAATGCTAAAACAACCATAATATATCTTAGCAAAGAACAATAAATATCTCACACCCGTTACAAATCATTTAAAGACCATTCACAATGCACACTCCATATCTCTCGTCACTAAAAAACATGTCGGCTAATGAAAGCCACACTAACAAGTGGCCAAGGGAAGAATGGAACATAACTGTTCCAGATGGATGTTGTAGGTCTGTGCTGCCACCTTGAGGCAGCTATCACGACACTAAACTCTAAACGGTGCCAGAAAAAAAAACGCATTAACACGATTGGGCCAACCTAGCACAGTGCTTGGGTAGGGGGATTTGTCTTTGGATGTAAAGGTTTCAATTTCACATATTTTTATTGCTGTGTTTTTGCTTGCCTCAAACATTGAGAGACACCGCTACTGCAACTACTTTTGGCTCGTCCACCTCCAAAGATGGACAGTGGTTTTTAAACGAGCATCCGTTTCGGAAGGGCGCGGCAGGGCCGTGTCAAGGGAGGGCCCCGCGCACTCCCTGCGCCAGAACACTTCACACAAAGATCCCCCGTAAAGTCTTTGACTATTGGGGAAAATGCTGTTAAGAGAGCACCTACTGAGGTTGGAATGGCACAAGAGGGTGCTGGTGGGTGGCCAACACCATACCTCGGCCGCATGTCTCTCCGGTGCTAGTGTTTGTGCACTGCACCAGTTACTTATTTAAGGCCGAGTGGCTGCGAGTGAGAATTTAACTCAGGTAACCAGTCACAGCAGTGCGCTGATCACTACACTGCTGCTACCCACCATTTCGCTCTGCACACACACACACACGTAGAGACCTCTCTCGTGCTTACCCGCAGCTCCAAACATCGATGGCTGGGCCATAGCGCTCCTCGCCCAAGAGAAGCTCCGGCGGTCGGTACCACAGAGTGATCACCTTGTTGGTGTACGGCCGGCTAGAGGAAAGACGTACGTACGCGCACCATAGTTAGAGAAGCAACGTGAGGGAAAATGCACGGAATGAGACAATGGCTCAATGCCCACAACCAATAGAGCCAGATCTAAATCTTCAAAACTGAATAAAATTGAAACCAGTTAGCATTATATTTAAAATGCAATTCAAGTTTCATCTTACCAATGCACTGTCAATATATCCCATGAGCACCCTGATTCATTGTAGAATGTAGCCTCATTAGCAGGATGGTATGTAATCCTGTTACAGGAATAACCAACTCTTACTGCTACAAAACCCTCATTTTGGGTCGCATCTTCCTAAAAAAGGAATGCTAACTGCACAGGTTGACGTAAACGGAAAAAATACATTAAGAAACAAGAAGCGAACCCTTCATGCAACGTGTGTAGGCCCCCGCAGAACGTACCTCTCTTCCGAGCTGTACAATCGCGCTAATCCGAAGTCTGCGAGCTTGATGTGGCCCCTAAAAAGACGCAGCAAAACATTTAGACGGTGCGCAGAAGCAAACGCTAAAGATTCCGAAAGGTGTCTAAGTCTGGCTTTCCGAGACTTGACAATTAACACTTAATCCTAAGAATCTTACAGGTACTCTAGTCTGCAGGCAATTGCATGATTTGGTGTGTGTATACCAAAAAAATCTAAAACTAAAACAATAAACAATTAAATTTCGATTTAAAGCTTTCGTGACTGCAATGATTCATCTTCTTTGGTTCTTTCGGTAAAGTCACGTAGAATGAGAATAAAATAATAAATTGATAAAATAAAATAACACAATAATATTCTCACGACGTTTCGGCCACAACACAAGCGGCCTTCATCAGGTGAAGGGACGAGACTGTCTGGAGGACAGCGCTGGAGTACCTTGCCTGGTATACAGGAGGTCCAGCGCTATCCTCCAGACAGTCTCGTCCCTTCACCTGATGAAGGCCGCTTGTGTTGTGGCCAAAACGTCGTGAGAATATTATTGTGTTATTTTATCAATTTATTATTTTATTCTCATTCTACGTGACTTTACCGAAAGAACCAAAGAAAATAAACAATTAGTAAATATTTAATTATTTCCTATTTGCGCTTGTGGAACAAATGCAAACATTTATGCATACTGTTTTTACATTTGTTACGTGATTTATGGGAGCATTTCCGTAAAGTCGGATTTACGCAAGTGGGGCCTCTTCTGTATTACGGCAGCACTGCCATCTACTGTCCACCACTTAACTCTGCATCCTACCTGCTTCACACGCTGGAGGCCCACCCCAATACGGCAAGTCCTCACTGAACGCGTGGTTTTCACACAATGCATTTTTGCGAGAACGTGGTTCTTCCATGAGTGAACACTTTCGGCACTAAGCGTAAAGCGCCCGTCATAACGCGTTTTTTGAGCGGTCGACGACGAACTGCTGTCTTGAATTGCGCAGCTGAGAGGTATTATACAGGAAGTGGAATGATGCAGTAACGTGGCCGCATACCCTCAGTTATTTGGCCCGGACATCTTACTGTGTGCGTACACCATATCTTGGCAAACTTTGTCGTTATATTATTTATGGGGAAGATGTTTTCACTTCACACATTTTTCACTTCACGCGGAACTTTTCAGGAACACATCTACAGCATTAAACGATGACTTAAATGTGTTATTCAGGCTTTCAAGATCTGACGAGAGCGGTTGGATTCATCGAGACTTGGTCGTTGTCATTGTACTGCAGCAAATTGGTGGTCAATCTCTATCGCAAAATCCAACTGCAACCCCTTCCCCCCCCCTCATAGATAAGCATTCAAATGACTGCATCTTGAAAGCACTTTGCAAATTAACGAGCTGCAGAATAATTTAAACGAAGGTGATGACGCTGGGGAGGCAAGCATAGGGAGCGTTACCGATTGTTGAGCAGGATGTTGGAGCACTTGATGTCACGGTGCAAGAAGTTCTTGCGGTGGCAGTAGTCGAGGCCCTCCATGAGCTGCTTCATGAAAGACTTAATATGATCTTCGCTGAAGGACACCAGCCCGGACTCGAGCAGGCCCATCAAATCATGGTCCATGTAGTCAAACACCAGGTAGAAGGCGCCTGCCGCAAGAGGCAGCGCACAAGCAACCAGAATTAATTTTGTTTCACGCAATTAGTGACAATAATAATTTATCAACTAAGTGTTTTTTTTATCTTAGTCATTGATGATGAGCGGACGAAGCATAATGACTTACTATTATCTGCCTTGGACCAAAGCATGGCTATGTGACAATGATGGGTGATTGGTATGAGAAGATCAACTCACAACACTCGAAAACCCAGTTTAATCACAGGGTGGCTGAAAAATAAGTTTCAATCCCAGGGTGGTCTCTATGATGCTGGAACATGGCTCCAACATGGTATTAATCAGTAGCTTTTAGTTTGTTGTCCAGCTCCTCCGATTAGCACGGGTGGCCACGTACGGTGCGAAAGAAGTTCAGCATACATATAATACAACCTGGCCGGCCCCAAGCCATCCGACAATCTCACCCTTGTCCTTCTTGAAGTCGATGGCATCCTCTTTATCTGTGACGATCTCCTTCATGTTGATGATGCTGCGATGGTTGAGCTGCCGCAAGATCTTGATCTCGCGGATGGCCGTGATGGGGAAGCCTTCCTTCTCGTTGTCCAGGCGAACTTTCTTTAACGCTACGAGCTCGCCTGAGGGGGAAGGGGGGGAACGGGGGCGGGTGTGAAGAAACGATAGACACGCGGCCCCCTCGGCGGTTTACACCACGTATGTTTTCACGTGTCTCCATCTCTTTTCATACGAGGTGAACTACAGAGGCGGGAGCAGGTTGAAGCGCTTTTGTAAAGCTGAACTTGAGATGAAAATTGAGATTTAGCGAATCTTTCCTGGATATTGTTTTAACTATGATAAACTGCCGTTTTATAAAAGTACAGCATATAAAAATGGTGGCTTGTTACCCAAGGTTAAGGGGATATTTATAAATGCTTAATGATATAAGTGTGCAGCTTTTAAGGAGAGTTGAGACCTAATTAAATAACAATCACTCCATAGACACACACACTTAAAATGGCCAATTATCCTGCCTTGAGAAAAAACGGTGAGGTGGGCTGCCATCGTTATCATGAACAGTTTTATCACAGTTTAATTGTTTTAGATAGTAGTCACGGTTTGCTTTTGTCGTACATGTTTTGTAAGGTGATTCAACATTCATGTTTTCATGAAGGGTGTCATTCTTTTTACTATTTGCTTAGCTGGTCCATAACCCTTGCGTAAACTTAATTTTAAGTTGTCCACAAAAAATGTCACAAAAATGGACGTCGATAAAAATATGGAACAAAAACTGATGCATGCACAAAGAAGCATGCTCGGAATGGCATTGAAAGATATGAAGAAGAACGCATGTATTATATAACAAAGTAAAGTTAGAGACAATAATAATTTAAACTTGTAATGCGCCGCACAGTATTCGCTCACTCTCAAAGCGAGAGTACTACTCAGGAGGCATGAGGAGCCAGACATTGGGGAAAGGTGGCTGCGTGGTGAGCTGGCCACCATTTCCCACAAAACTCCGTGGTCCTCTACAGTGAGGGAAAAAAGTATTTGATCCCCTGCTGATTTTGTACGTTTGCCCACTGACAAAGAAATGATCAGTCTATAATTTTAATGGTAGGTTTATTTGAACAGTGAGAGACAGAACAAAAAAATCCAGAAAAACACATGTCAAAAATGTTATAAATTGATTTGCATTTTAATGAGGGAAATAAGTATTTGACCCCTTCTCAATCAGAAATATTTCTGGCTCCCAGGTGTCTTTTATACAGGTAACGAGCTGAGATTAGGAGCACACTCTTAAAGGGAGTGCTCCTAATCTCAGCTTGTTACCTGTATAAAAGGTACCTGTCCACAGAAGCAATCAATCAATCAGATTCCAAACTCTCCACCATGGCCAAGACCAAAGAGCTCTCCAAGGATGTCAGGGACAAGATTGTAGACCTACACAAGGCTGGAATGGGCTACAAGACCATTGCCAAGCAGCTGGTGAGGTGACAACAGTTGGTGCGGTTATTCGCAAATGGAAGAAACACAAAAGAACTGTCAATCTCCCTCGGCCTGGGGCTCCATGCAAGATCTCACCTCGTGGAGTTGCAATGATCATGAGAACGGTGAGGAATCAACCCAGAACGACACGGAGGATCTTGTCAATGATCTCAAGGCAGCTGGGACCATAGTCACCAAGAAAACAATTGGTAACACTACGCCGTGAAGGACTGAAATCCTGCAGCGCCCGCAAGGTCCCCCCCTGCTCAAAAAAGCACATATACATGCCCGTCTGAAGTTTGCCAATGAACTTCTGAATGATTCAGAGGACAACTGGGTGAAAGTGTTGTGGTCAGATGAGACCAAAATGGAGCTCTGGCATCAACTCAACTCGCCGTGTTTGGAGGAGGAATGCTGACTATGACCCCAAGAACACCATCCACCGTAAAATATGGAGGTGGAAACATTATGCTTTGGGGGTGTTTTTCTGCTAAGGGGACAGGACAACTTCACCGCATCAAAGGAACGATGGACAAGGCAATGTACCGTCAAATCTTGGGTGAGAACCTTCTTCCCTCAGCCAGGGCATTGACAATGGGTCGTGGATGGGTATTCCAGCATGACAATGACCCAAAACACACGGCCAAGGCAACAAAGGAGTGGCTCAAGAAGAAGCACATGAAGGTCCTGGAGTAGCCTAGCCAGTCTCCAGACCTTAATCCCATAGAAAATCTGTAGAGGGAGCTGAAGGTTCGAGTTGCCAAACGTCAGCCTCGAAACCTTAATGACTTAGAGAAGATCTGCAAAGAGGAGTGGGACAAAATCCCACCTGAGATGTGTGCAAACCTGGTGGCCAACTACAAGAAACGTCTGACCTCTGTGATTGCCAACAAGGGTTTTGCCACCAAGTACTAAGTCATGTTTTGTAGAGGGGTGAAATACTTATTTCCCTCATTAAAATGCAAATCAATTTATAACATTTTTGACATGTGTTTTTCTGGATTTTTTTTGTTATTCTGTCTCTCACTGTTCAAATAAACCTACCATTAAAATTATAGACTGATCATTTCTTTGTCAGTGGGCAAACGTACAAAATCAGCAGGGGATCAAATACTTATCGGCCAATATATTATATTAGGCACGAGGAGCCAAACATTGGGGAGAGGTGGCCGCGTAGTGAGCTGGCCACCATTTCCCACCAAACTCGGTGGTACTCTCTAGATATTAAAGAGTTATCGGCCAATATATTAGCGTGTACATGTGGGAGAAAACCAGAGCATCCCGAAGAATACCCACGCGTGCGAGGGGGCAACACTACACCCCCTACAGATGGGATAGGTGGGGTCCACATTTGTTGTACTGCAATCTCCTGACAAGCCAGGGTATGGCAGCTAGATGCCCATGGTAAGGGAGCATGATCGACCGACACCCACCTCTACAGTCCTGGATTACAGGCATGTATATAGCCGACACTGCCTATAACTTGTCATCATATTGTATTGTGTGTATAAACCAGCAACAATTTAAATGATTCATTCCCAAAGCCACAGGGATGCAAAGTGTAAAGAGAGAGGCGTATGGACAGCGTGAGAGTGAGAAGTGCGATGCGAGCGGATGGATAATTACCTTTACCTGTGTCTTTGTCTTTGGCCTTGTACACCTGCCCATAAGTACCCTCCCCGATGATGCCAATGATGTCGAATTTATCAACGCAGCGCTTGCCCCAGTCGGCCTCCGTGCCCTTGATCTCCCCGTAACGCGGGCCGCAGATCCTGTGCACGGCACAGACCCCGAACGTCACGCTTGCCATTACGCTTCAGTAAATAGCACAAGCCTACTACATGCAGAATCACCCGGAGCGCACCAGACTTCATGAGATCACAAGAGACTTGAGCAGGAATGAGCCTGGACAGTGCCGCGATGGGTGACTACCATGCACAAATTGCGGGGCTGTTGCGAGCAGCTGAGAGAGATGTGCAGCAAAATACATTGTTGTATTGTACTTATTTGCTGCCAGATCTATGCTCCCTGCCTTCAACATGCACCAACCAGTGCGGTTAAGTATTGTCAAATAACACAAAATGACCTGCACGGAGTGGGGAGGCCCTCTTTCCATAGTGGATTTACAATAGGGTCGCACATGTACAAATATCACAAGAAACAAATGTGATGTCACACATATAAAGCTATGAATACTGTGGCGATAATGAAGGTGGATACTGCACGGCTCCCTTGTTATCAAGTAAAATGCTAGGGCCGATTAAAATTCTAACATTACACTAAGTCCTCGCTTAACGCACGTCCAAGCAATACCTATTATTACGTAGTTTCTGAGCGGTCGACAACAAACTACTTTCTTGGGCTGCGCAGCTGTATGATAGAGTACGCAGAATTATACAGCAACGAGGCAACATACCCTCAAGTTATTTAGCCCACCGTCTTACTTTGTGTGCATACATCGCATCTTACCAAACTTTATCGTTACATGATTTATGGGGAAATTGTTTTCGCTTCATGCATTTTTCGTTTAACGCGGCACTTGTTAGAAAAGTATCTACGGCATTAAACGAGGACTTAATGTATATAATGCCATTATATAAAGCAAACCATCATAGATATGTATACTATTATTTAAAGATGCAACCCAAATGTGCAAACTATTATTACGTTATACAAACATATATCGGATCTCATTTCTTCCAACTTGTTCAGTTTTGTTCACTCCATCAATTCATAAACGCACAATTGTATGTATGAGACCTCAAGTTTAAGAATTGTTTGTCATTAATGAATTGATGCATCATTAAAGGACTACACCTTCATTAGTTTTCCAAAGCTGTCCTACAAGACAAGAACGGTTTGTTTTCTGGATCTTGCAACAAAGCCATCTTTGCCCTCCATTAATAATAAAATCCCTCGTTCACACTACATCGATTGCACTTTGACACATCTCGTAAATCTGTACACGGCAAACACCACGGAATAAAACCGCACTTGGGCCTGCGGCGAGTGGGCGTCTGTACGGGTGGTGTCCTTTCTCCCGGCGGAGTTTTGGTGAGTGCCGGCGAGCAGTCCCCACCGGGCAGCTCGGGTGGTAGCGGGAGATCGGTGAGAAGGCGGCGCGGTTTACTGTCGCTCTCCTTTTTCGGCGGTTTCCTGGGCCGCGACTCGAGCGGGCTGCATCGTACCGAAATCGGCGGCACAAACATAAAAATCAGCAGGTATATAAACAAGGCATTTTACTTCGCAGTACCTTTTTGTGTGCTCCCCACAACTACATTCCATTTCAATTATACAATTGGTGTGATATCATGAGACATGGAAAGTTTCATTCGCAACCCTCGCAGTAGACCATCACGTGTTAGAGAATGACACTGTAATGCGACGTGACAGAGTTACTTCCAAAGTCACTCATACGGCCGTATTTCTATGCTTTAAAAAAGGATGTTCTTCACGTATTATTCGTTTAAAAAAAACGAGTTAAAATATGCTAAAGTAAAAACCGAATGTGATGGGTTATTTTTTAGTGTTCAGCGATTGTTCGCGGACCCAAGCCCATCAATTTGCAACACTAGTTTAATCACGGGTGGTTGAAAACTAGATGCTAATTAAGGATCCCGGTCGTGCTTACTTGGTCTAACATAGCCATAGCATTAGCTCTCACCCACCAAGACAACCCATGTGGTCATCAGCATTAAAGGCAGAGACAACCTAACAACTTATGTAATACCAACATGCTGTACACCGACCATCGGACTGTGGCCTTCCCAATCCTGGATCAAGTTTGTTTAAAACATTTTTTTAAACAAAACATCTGGAATTCCAAGCGTTCAAATTGCATCACATACAACTTATTTCACGTCTATATTCTCACCACCCATGCAAGCATGCACAAAAGATCCCCCGTATAGCATTAACAGACTGTAGGGGCAAGTGCTGTTAGCGAGCACCTATGAAGGCCGGAACGGTACACGAGGGGGTGGGTGGCCAGCACCACGCCCGACCGCCTTTGTCTCCCCAGTGGCGATGTTTACACACCGCACCAGGCACTCATTTGAGGCTGAGTCGACCTAGGGGAGGCCCAGGACCGGTTCAGATAATCGTCACTGGTGTTGGCCGTGAGCGAGGATCGAACCCGGGTCGCCAGGTTCATTGCGCAGCGCGCTAACCGCTACACTACCGCAAGCATGCACACACGCAAACGAAATATGGGCCACGCACCTGTCCCTGGCCGTATCTTCAGGCAACATGGGTGGCATCGGCAGCGGCGGTAGGGTGTACGTCGGCAAAGTGAGCACCTTGTCCTTGTTGGCCCATGCTGGTTGTGCCACCTTCTCTTTCTCCTTGCCCTCCTTCGCCTTCACCTTCTCCTTCTCTGTCCGCTCCGGCGCTGGCGTTGGTGCCGGCGCCGTCGGCTCAGATTTCACAGTCTTGGCCACATCCTGGCTTGGTACAGCTGGTGGCAGAGGTGGCAGCGGTGGCTGCGCCTCGCTCTTGGGCAAGACTGCCGCTTCTTTGTCAGGTTTCGATGGCGCTTCCTGTGGCAGCGGTGGCGGGGGCTGCTGCTTCGGCGCTGGCTTCTCATTGTGCGCCGGCTGCTTCACGCCCGGATCTGGCGAATGCCTCTCGGTCTTCACAGGCTTCACCTCCTCGTGGCGTTCCCTGGCATTTGAGTCCCTGGCTGTTTCCTTTGCGGTGGCAGCGGTGGCAGCGGCGGCAGGTTTCGTCAACCTGGGCGTGCTCGGCTTCTTGTTCTTGCTGAGCTCCGAGATGAGGCTGGTGGTGATGATGGTACGCCGTAGCGGTGGGGAGTAGCTGGAGTGGCGGCTGCGTGAGCGCGAGCGGCGGGACGAGCTGCGGGAGCGCGACCGGCGCTGGTGGTAGGGGCTGCGGCTCCGAGACAGCGCAGAGCGCCGGTACCTGGAATTCACATATCTACCGCCATTACAGCACAACACACTGGGGTTACGCACTTGCAATGCACTAAACGGCAGGGCTGGTCCTTAAAAACACACGCGAAGTTTCAATCGTCGATGGATATCTATTAGCTCATTTGAAGTGCTGTCTGGCTAACGTAGATGAGGTGAAAATCGTCACTATAAGGGACAAGGGCTCCTTAGAGCTCCCTCTAGTGGAGGCCAACAGTGGTGTGAGCACGCAATTGCAGGGTTCATCTTCTTTGGTTCTTTCGGTAAAGTCACGTAGAATGAGAATACAATAATACGTGACTTTACCGAAAGAACCAAAAAAGATGAATCCTTGCAGTCAGGAAAGCTTTAAATCGAAATTGCAGGGTTGTTAACCTCTTTTTAAAATTTTGGGAGTCATGCCCATTTTTATAATTTATATGCCAGGAAGATAATATGAAATGTTTAAATAGGTTCTTCTTTAGGCACACTGCAAGGTTGATTTTTATTATAAAGTTCAGGTTTTAAAAACATTCGAACCTCACAAGCGTCATTTGGATAAAAAGAGTTTCTGGAAAATGTAATGGGATGGATTATCAAAAATAATCATCAGCCTTGATATGTCCACTGTTGGATAAAGGGCTCCCTGTACCGTCACCATCTCTCACGGTCCTTCCATGTAACATCATCAGCACAGCTCCTGCGCACGAGCTGATATCGTGTCATCTCCTCGCTGGCAGATGGCCTCCCAGGCATGTTTTTTTTTCCTGAGTCTACCACTGTCATTAAGCCTCAACCATTGGCCATCGTCTCTTCCATGTGACGTCGCCTCCCCAAACCCACTTAAATTTCTTAACAGTCCATGTCTCTTACTTGTGTTTGCTCTCTGACCCGGTCCTGGGCACCCCCTTCACCAACCTGCACTGACCAGAGTGGTGAAATATGGTCAAACAACCCCCATTGACCAACATGGCTTGGGTATTGAAAAATGGCTGTAGAATAGCATGGTTAATTTACGCAAAAAAAACAATGATCAGTAATTACATTCAAATAGTCTTTAATTATCATCATCATCAATAGAGTATTACCTCACACTGTCTTTTCTAAACCCAGGCAATTAAAATGTCAGCTCAATACAAATTAAACCATCACTCTGGTCAAGTGAATGTTGGAGAAAGGCCACAAAACCAAATTGAAGGTTAGACGAAGCCTGAGGCCTAAATGAAAAAATATTAAATTCCTAAATAAACCAACTTCTGTAAGTGGTTGTGCAAGGTCGAATGACACGAAACATTACTTTACACTAATGTGATTTGTTTATCCAGAAAAGTCCGAGTCTCAATACTTTTTTGACGACGGTACTGCTTTTAGGGTAGTTGGTCAAATGCATTAATGTTTGACTTGGTGTCGGAGAAAAACAAACATCGTGTACATTAGGGCGGGTAACCACAAGAAGCTCCGTAAGGATGGATTCAATTATCTCCTGCTGTACCGTCACTTCCTGAGTCCTTATCTTGCCTACATTGCCATGATCCCAAGTAAAAACAAAACATATTCAGCACATCATATTCACGTTCAAAACGTTGACGAAATAAATGTCACAACTGACAAAGCGTCAGTAGAACGTCGGTTTGGTGACACGCCAGACATTCAGTAAGCTACATTAGCTGCCATTAAGCACCAATTCAGTAGCATACAGTGGCGACGGGGGGACGACTGGCTTATTAACTTTTCTTCCTTGAGCGGCGTGTGAATCCCCTTGCCACGACTGTCGAGCAGGCTGAACAGTGCGAAGGCCGTCAACTAACCCACAGCAACCAAAGTCTTCTCCATCGTACGCATAAAAGTATTGGTCTCAATTTGATTTCAGCCGATTACATAGGACGCGAATTAGATAGCTGCGCTGCAATGACCACGGATAAGACAACCGTGTCCTGAACTGGATAGAAATCTGGTGCTCGATAGGAAATGCCACATTTTAACCTCGTGATGCCAATGCCATGTCATACTAGCAGCAGCATTGGAAGCAGCACAGTGGCCAGTTACATTCAATTAAACTCACGTGCATGTGCTTCCCCCGATTGACTTGAATTATTTTAAATGGGGCTTACACGAGAGATTAAAAAAGTTGATTATGCACCTCAAGATATATTAAATTGCATTTCTATTTGGTTTGGTTATTACTATTTTGTTGATGCTGCAAATTGTGACCAGTCCTGCCTTGAAAATGACACTTTCTTAAAGGGCTCTCAGTTTTTCTATATTTAAATGCTCATGCCCTACTTGTGCAACGCCACAAACCAAGAAGACCATGGTTTACTCCCCTCATCTCTCCAATCGACCTCCTCCCCTCAAGGCACCACTGGACACTACAGCTCTGGCGGCTGTCTTGCAACGCACAACCAGGAACACAATGGATTAATCCCACGTTCTCCAATTCCCCTCCTTCCTGACGGTAGAATGGACATTGCAAGCAGTGGTGCTATTACATAACGGATAACTTAAAAAACTCACCACGCATCTCCAATCAGCAAAACACTCTCTCTACCTGGTTTTAACAATCGATTACGGTACTCTCTCACATACTCAAATCCACCTCAAGGCACGGGCACGACCAATTTACACCCGATCATCACGCAATGGCTTAAACTCATCTCCCTCCCCCTTAACCTCTGGAAGGAAGGCACGATGGAGGACTTTACCTGGTGTCCGATCCGGGACTGTCGTCGTTCCGCCTCTTGTAGGGACTCGGCGATCGGACCCCGTAGTCGTAGGGACTGCTCCTCCTGCTGTAACGAGGCGACCTCTTCTTGCTGCTGCTGCTGGCGCCGTAGGGGCTCGGCGAGCGGGCCCTCTTGCTGAAGGGGCTCTGGTAGCTCCTGCTGTAGGGACTGCTGTCCAACCTGTTGTTGTAGTAGGGGCTGGAGGAGCGCCGCTTGGAGCTGTACACGTCGTTGGAGCCGGGCGGGCTGTAATTGTTGTAGTTTCCGCTGAAGTATGACCGGTAGGGGCTCCTCCTGGGGTTGCTCGGAGACCTGTGCCTCTGAGGAGGGCTAGGGGATGTCCTGTAGGCCTTGGGGGCCTCCTTGTTGCTGCGGTGGCTTTTGCGAGACTCACGCTCGGGCTTCTGAGGAGGCTTTGGCTCCTTGCTCTTGGCACGTTTGTCGCGGCCGCTCCTGGACGGCTTCTCCTCTCGCTTGTCCTCCTTCTCCTTGTCCCTCTTGCCGGACGAAGACGACTGCCTGGGCCTGCCGTTGTTGTCCTCATGTTCGGCAGCAGCAGCAGAAGCCGCCGCCGCTGCGGATGATGACGACGACGCCGCCGCTGCCGACCTCGAATGCCTGGAAGACGCCGCCGAGACGGCGGCCTCTTTCTCCTTGTTCCTTTCGGCCTTGGAACACGAGGACGACGACGAGGTGCTGGCGGCGATGGTGGTGGTGGTGGCCATCGGGGCGGGGGTTGCAGCCACGTCCTGCTGCTCGGCGTTCTTGGCGGAGGCCCGCTCTTGGTGCCTGGACCTGCTGATGGCGCCACTTTCGCGTTCCCTGTCGTGTCTCCTCGACTCCTTGCTGACGCTGCTGCTGCTGCCGCCGCCACTGGCAGCACCAGCAGCAGCAGCAGCACCACCACCACCGTCCTTGGTCCGTTCTCGGTGCTTCGATTTGGCGGCGTCCCGCTCCTTACGCCGGGCGTGCTCCCTGTCCTGCCGGCTCGACCGGTGCCTCTCTTTGGTCTTCTCCGAACGTTTGGCACCAGCGGCGGCAGAAGCAGAGCAAGAGGACGAAGTAGCAGGAAGTGGAGGCGGCGGCGGCAAGGATGCCGGCGAGGGACTGCGAGACTGTCCCTCAGAAGGCGAGGTGATCTCGTCGTACTCGACGAGAGACACTGCCCTGCCGAGGGACACCTTACTGCTCACCTCGACCCTGCGCAGCACCTCCTGCTGATGGTGATGCTGGAGCAACTGCAGCTGCTTCTGCCTCTGCTTTTCCTTCGACTCTTTCCGACGTTGCCGCTTGTGCTTCGAGGAAGAGGACGACGACGACGGCCTGGTTGTCCCGGAGCGACGTCCTCCACCACCGCCACCACCGCCGCCACCATCGGAGACACCTCCACCTGACGACGTCTCTTGACCGCAGCCATCGGCCCCAGAGCCCGGGTCGCGGCCCTGGGACCTCTCGGTCCTCCTTTCGCGGGCCCTCGATTGCCCCGGGCTGCGAGTTCTCCTCTGCTGCACCTCGGAGCTCGGCATGGCTTGTAACGAAATGTACTCGGCAGCTGCCGTTAACGTAATGTCTGTGGCCTCTGTGATGTTGTTTATCCTCCTCGGAGGCCTGTGTCGCCTTCTCTTGCGCCGCGCTCAGGATGAAGAGGAGGGCGACCCACTGCCGACACACATCCCTGCGCTCTTCTTCACCTTAAGCTATAGCAAACTCTTAAATTACGCCGGGGTTCACTCTCACCCCCCCCCCCCCCCCCAATTAAAGTCCTCTTTGTTTCACTGCTAGCTGAAAGGTTTTCTACTCCGCAGTTTGTTGTTGTTTAGGTTAAGTTCGACCAGAGGACTGCAGTCCTACGGGCCTCAGCACGGGCCGGGAAGAAAAGAATAGAAAGAAAAACTTGGCTCTACTTTACAAGGGATTTTAAGTCAGACAACCAGACGCGAAGAGGAAGTGTTCCCGCTTTCTCCTGCTAACTTTGTACTATTGTTGCTATTATAATTCTATTTACAAGTTGTATATTTTGTTGTTGTTGCTACTAGTAGTGACTGCCTCTGCCTGCCCGCCCCGGTCTGAACGACACGCACCCTAGAGTGACGAAGGCAGACAGACGAAGCAGCCCTAGTTAAGTTTATTCTCTTTTTAATCTCTCTTTGTTTTAAAGTATTTAATAGTATATTACAAGTAGTATTAATGGGCGTTCACTTGGCCTCCCGAAGCCATGTCGTCCTTCATGCCTACAGCTCATGATCGGGCTCCATTTTACATTGACGGTCATCACTTTTTTTGGAAAGAAAAGTTTTTATGTTCGCGTCCAATTATTTGGTCCATATTCGTTCAGGAGGGTTAATTATCGGTCGGGCTATGTTTTGGCGGACGGCGGGGCTCGAGCCGAGGCTGCGCGATTGAGGATGGCTGTGGATTTTTGTTGTTGGGATGCGGCTCCCTGAGCTTTGCACCAGAAAATGGACGCCCCGGCTCCTTGCCGTTTACTTAGCAAAACCGGAAGCCGGTGGGCGGGGTCAAAGGGAGCGTTTCCTTCGCGCCTCATGCATATTCAATTGGGGAGGGGCGGGCCCCTTCGCAGTGCTAAGGTGTTGGCCTTGCGTGGAGGGCGTTATGCTAATGAGCGGGCGTGGCCTCGCGGGTATGTTTATATAAGTGGGTGTGGCTTAGTAGTTTACATTGTATTCGATTAACACCAAAATGTTCATATTATTTGGTTCTTTAGATAAAGTCACGTTAATATAAAAATAAAGTGAATACAAAATAAAAACCACTAATGTAGATTGTAGCCTGGTTCTTAATCGGAGTGAGTGTACTGGCAGTCTATAATGTAGACTGTAGCTTGGTTATTAAGTTTGGTGAGTGTACTGGCAGTCTATAATGTAGACTGTAGCCTGGTTATTAAGCTGAGTGAGTGTACTGACAGTCTATAATGTAGACTGTAGCCCGGTTATTAAGTTTGGTGAGTGTACTGGCAGTCTATAATGTGGACTGTAGCCTGGTTATTAAGTTTGGTGAGTGTACTGACAGTCTATAATGTAGACTGTAGTCTGGTTCTTAACCTCGGTGAGCGTACTGGCAGTCTATAATGTAGACTGTAGCCTGTTTTTTTAAACTGGTGGGCGTATTGGCAGGCTATGATGTAGACTATAGCAATGGTTATTAAGCTGAGTGAGCGTACTCGCAGTCTATAATGTAAGCTGTAGCCTGGTTATTCACCTGAGTGAGCGTACTGGCAGTCTATAATGTAGACTTATTCTGATTCTTTCAGTAATGAAAATAAAAAAAATAAAATCACGACGTTTCGATCGCAACACAAGCGGTCGTCATCAGGAAAAGGGGGGTTAGCCTCTAAAGGCAAACTGTTTATAAAGGTTTAGAGATGGGCGTAGCCCAACTGTGTCAGCAGCATGGGCGGGGCAGCTAATGTTAATGTGGCCCAAGTGTGTCAGCAGCATGGGCGGGGCAGCTAATGTTAATGTAGCCCAAGTGTGTCAGCGGCATGGGCGGGGCAGCTTATGTTAATGTGGCCCAAGTGTCAGCAGTATGGGCGGGGCAGCTAATGTTAATGTAGGAGGCAGCAACGCCAACGCAGTGGGTCTACACCAATCAAAGGGCCGCCAGGCAATCATTGCACCTCGCTCCACACACCCACACTGCTGACGGTGGAGGTTGACAAGAAAAGCCAAATTAAGTCATGACCCAAAGTGGTTGATGACATCTTTCCAATGATTGCTGAGTTTATAACCATCCTCTGGGTTGAAATTGTGTCTGTATATATGGATGGCTTCATGAAGATCTATGTTGATAGCCAGTAGGCTTGCAAAGTACCATCGTCTTAGAGAAATTAATTTCGTGTGAGCCAGCCACATTAAATAATGATCAGCCACGGCGGAAGTATTGGTCCTACCGTGTTTCAAATCTACCTTATGCTCACGAACATGGTCCGAGACATGTCGCTTAGTTTCCCCAATGTAACTGCTGCCGCAGATACAGCTTAGTTTGTAGACGCTGGGATATTGCATGTCAGGAATCTTGTCCTTCACAGATGGGATCAGATCACGAATTTTATGTCCTGTGTTAAATCGGACCTGGATCTTGTTTGTTCATGATTTTGGAAATATTTTTGGTTACCCCTGCTATGTATGGCAAGGTGATGGTTTTGATTGGATCCTCAGATGGCTCCTTCCTCACGGTTTGGGTGATGGCTTTGCGGATTGTGTAGTCAGAATATCCATTCCCCTTGAGAGCTTGGTGTACGTGTTTGAGTTCACTGGTTAGGTGTTCATGGTCGGAGATACATTGAGCTCTATGGTGTAGCGTTTTGATGAGGAATTCTTCTGGGATGGATGGTGGTGGGAATCAGGTTTTAGTTAGGCGTCAGTATGGGCTACTTTCCTGGAGACAGAATGGCTCATTGAGCCATCTGGTCTCTTTTTGATTCGGATATCCAAGATGTTCGTCAATAACACTGGATTGAAAAGGAACATTGTGTTATAGGCGACGCTTCGGGCAATGGCCCTTCACACAACATACATAGAGAGACCAGAGGTACGAGTTATTAAGAGCTGGAGACTGAACCGATAACAATTCAACTTTTTTTTAATAAAGTTTTCAAATCTGCATACGAAGTGTACCTATTTGTAGACATTGAGTAACTCGTCAATAAAACTAAACTATTACAACACAAACTCACTTGTATTAGCAGCTACATTGTACAACGTTACTGGCACATTGCATAATGGGTCGCAGTCCCATTGCAGCGCCGAGTTTGCAAAATAACAAACTTGCAAATCTGACCCTGACACGCTCAACTTTCCCACCCACCACCCCGCCATGCGTTCGAGTGTGCGTCACATGGGTCTCTGGGCAGCAGGGGGCAGTGCAACAAAGCCCCAAGTGCTTGCTTATCCGGCCCCGCATTCACGAACCCGCAACTGTGTGGCCAGAGGTAGTGAACTAGTGAAGTATGGTAAAATAACCCCGCATGATGCAGGGTGGCGTGGAGAAGCCCTCGTGCAGGAGTGGATCGACGTGTACACGCAGTCATTTAATAGCTATTGCAAGGAACGCACAGCTGTTGTATACAAATCATTTTTTTATTACTCCTATAATTGTAAACGCGTAAGAAATAAAATAATAACATACACTAAATCTCATGTAAAGTTAAATCGCGCCGTTAATTTAAAGTTAAATAAAAACGAGCATGACAGGCAGCCACGTGGTCGACCCCGAGCACTGTACAGTGGGAAATGACGTCACCCGCAGGCACAGTACACGCACTGTATACACGCCGGATATCGGTTCAAATCCTGGCTGGAGTCCATTAGTCTCCCATCATCACCACCATCCCCGTCACGGTAGTTAAAATAGCACCCCACCAGGCGAGCGATTTCTTCGTGGTTTAGGATCAACTGAACTTAGCCAGAGTAACGTGGAATTTTCACCACTTGGTGGGAGGTCAACCAATGGTAGCTAAGGATGGGCTGAGCCTTGCCACACGATCATGGAATTCCGGTTATTTGGATGTAAGGCAAACATTGGCAACTTCGGGTGGACCGAGTCTTTGCCACGAGAACGTAACAATGTAATCACAATTATGAGGGTTAGTCTTAAATTTTGACTTTACCGAAAGAGCTAAGAATATGAATAGGGTTAGTCTTGTTAACCCTAGAAAGGCCGTCTTGTTCGAGAGGGCTCTAGAGCTCTCGTTTAGGTTCTTCCGCCAACAGCGGGGTGAGCAAGCAATTGCAGAGCTACGCCTTTACCGAGACTTATCTCACGTCACGTGAATGTGGAACTTCTACACTAGTGTAGGATCGACAACGTTGGGCACCGGTCAACGCCCATTTGAGAACCTTGTTTTATATTTAAAAGCATAATTTGTATTTGTACAGCAGTAGACATCACTGTAGCCTTGTTACTGCAAACATAACCCACCCCCCATTTAAACCATACTGCTCCTTTAAAATGTGCCTCATCAATAAGACGTAGTTCACTCTTATACCAAGCCTGAATGCACGTGGTTCTATTTTATTATTGCCACAACTGCTCAGTAATTGCTGGTAAATTATGATATATCAAAGAATATCACTAACGCTCGCAATGTACGCATTGAACCGCGGGTGTAAAAACCGATGTTTTTCGAATTACATATTCGGATGCGGTGGGCTGAGTAGTGGTTGCAGTGGTTAGCGCCCTGGGCTCCGCATCTGGCTTTGCCGAGTCAAGTTCCCGGCCCCTGCGAAAAGCAGTGGCTCGAGTGACATTAGAAACAGGACTGATGACCAGTGTGGTGAAGTTATGGCCAAACAACCCCCATTGACACGCACCGTGTTGCAAAGGCCCTCATCCAGAAATTGAATGACACATCGCTGTTAATTTAAGATCCAGAATTGTACTGGAAACAAGTTTTGCTGGCTGGCGGTGCGCGGTTCACGCACATCTGCGTGATGACGTCGCTTGCATCCCAACAGCATTCCCCCCCCACCTCCACTCTGGCCTTGTATCCCGTGCAATTGCCCGGGCAGTGTTAGTGTGTTGTACATACAATTAAAACAAACCATGGTAATGCTTGGTTAGTGATATGACCCATATAAAATTGTAATAACCTCAATGGAATATCACGTGGTTAAATACAAGAACGTTTTGGATGTACCACATGTATCACGGGTGTGCATACCCGTCCCATTCGGGACGAGGGGTAAGCCTCCTGTATACTTGTAAAAAATAAAAAAACACGAAAATAAGTAAACCCTCTCCATTTTTTTTCCAACTTAACAAAAATATGTTGTTCCCTATTAATAATTTTCACAATTTTATTGCGACTGTGTTGTGGACATCACGGCAGCACGAGGCAAGGTTTCCATTTGGAATTCGCAGATCCGTCCCGTCGTCCCATGTAAGTGAACGGCCTGTTGAAAACCGCAGAACTGCTTCTGAGATCTCTAGAACCTTTATCATCCACACACGTGGGTATATAGTGGAAATGTTCAGCGCACGGCAGAAACCCCCCCCCCCCCCGATATTTTTGATTCCCTCAAGAGCTTGAAATTTTACCATGCTCAGTGGTCTGACGCATGGGCCACCTGGCCACCTCTGAAATTGTGAATAACCTTAGTGGACATTGATAATGGTCGAGCTATTTAAAGAGCAGACGGTATCATCGTCAGCTACTGGTGGTTAATTGTGGGCCCTTCACTTGAACCCTTGGCAACTTACCTCCACGTTACCAAACAGCCACCCAAACAAAAGTGCGGTTTTAATTGTTTTTTTTTTTGCCATCATCAATCCTGATCTATCCACTGTCGGATCGAGGCCTTCCCAAAACCACGGCCCTCTCTCATGGTCTCATGAGACGAGATGGTTTCATTGCTCCATTTTCACAAGTCGACTTTCTCACGGCCAGCGTTTCGGATCCCTCCCTTTTTAGGTGTCACTCTCCCGTTTAGCCTCGGCCACCGGTCAACATTCTGTCGAGTGATATGACCTGCAAAAGCTCCCTTATCTTTCTTAAGTCAGTATGATGGTTGAAACGTAAGTTTATCTCTCTGAAACACGTGCTGCTATATACATAACAGACAGTGCTCTGAGCTACACTCAGCGGGGCAGTAGAGGGCTCGAGGGCTGGGAATGTGGGGCTTTCAATGCCGAATTGCAAAAACGCGGTCTTGACAGCCGTTCACAGCCGTTTTGACACCGCCCTGCTTTGATGGTCAGATACACGCAGCGGTCATAGCCCGGCAAACAGCACCTGTTGACAGCCAGCACGCTTGGAACAAGGTGCAGGTGTGGTAGCATGCATTGGGGTAGTAAAACTATCCTGCTGTTGTGGAGTGACTCATGCAGCCGGGTATGCCTGCAGGGTTTGGTGGTACATGTTGTTTATGTCGTTTATTGTGCAAATTCGGTCACAGTTCCTATGATCACTGTTACATTTCTTTTATGGCTTTATTTTGGTGATTTCTAAAACGTGTTTTGGTTTGAGCCATGTTTGTTTGTTGTAGTACGGAGTTAGACTGATGGCCTTAATCTAAGTTGTCTCTAAGAAAAGCTGTCTCGGGTGTGGACCAATCAAATTCAAGGACAGTGCTTATTATCAGAGTTGTCTTTTTTGTTTGCCTTTTGACTGCTTGGGTTGTGGTTATTGCAAACATGATGCCTTGAATAAAGGTGTCAGTTTTTGTGCCAGTTAAAAGGGTAAAACCTATTCCTATACCTTTGTCTTGTGGTTGTTGTTTGACTTGCATCCCACTGGGATTTTTGCACACAGCGTTGGTGTACGATGGTATTTCAGGAATATTTTGCTGTTTTTTCCTGGATTTTCTGTTTGCACAGTCACAAAGTCACTTTAAGATGTTTTCTTGTACATGTTTTTGTTTTTTGTTTGTTGCGGTTGCACCCAATTCAAGAGTCGAATGGCTCACAGGGCTATACCAAATAAATGAAACTGAAAACTGAAACTGAGTTCAGGTTACCAACAATGCACACAAAATTGGGTTGAAGTCACGCGTCTCCTATAGGGATTCAATGTCGCTTCTACGAAGCTAATGACCCTGTGTGGCTGATCGCTGTATAGTAGAATGAACACGCGACGAATAAAACCTGCAAACACTTACGGTGGTTTAGTGTTAATGACGCGAATGAGCAAGCTGATTAAATGTTATAGCTGCAAGTCATTGCAAGGTGGGCTGAGAACGCCTCCGAGGAACAGCCTACTAACATGTTTTTTAAGTAGCTCGTTTTAAAAAGTTAGAATCTGCAGAGACGAGTTTTGAGACAGTGCTCTTAGGGGGCTTAATGCTGAAACGGCTACACCATTATACTCAAAACAAAACCACTGTGGGTGCCTTAACAGACTGCTCGGCAAGCAATGGGGGCAATTTCAGAGTAACATTTCTAGCATAACCACAACAACCAGGCACTGATGTTATACGATTGTATCGGCAGTAGTGATAAGCAGTGAAGTCCAGAATCGCAGACGAGTTTACAGAGGTGCGATCGCTTTCTGTAGCTATCTCCTGCCCCTTTATTTGGCAGAATTGTCATTCCTCCACAAGTTCTGTGTTGCCAGAAAGTAACTGTATACTTTATTTCCCCTTCCACCCCTCTTTCCACCTCTTCTTTCACTGTAATGGGCACGTTTCAAGGCAATGTTTCCTGGAATTTAAGTACTTTCTAAAAAAGCAGACAACAGTGGTGTGGAAAATGGCACACACCACCTCCCACTAGTTCCTGTTTAAAAACAGACAAAACGCGGCACCGCCCGGTAACACGAGTTGAACTCGCCAGTGGTGGAGCGGCGAGCACCAGAACATGGAATCCACGCTGCTGCCACACCGCGTCAGCTCTCCTCGCCCTCTCACACCACCTTGCCCAGCGCCCTCATCAGAGCTTCGGCAGAGACTTCCTCACCAGCACCGCCGCCATCCACCGTCCCCTCCATCGCGCTTGCGTCCCCCAACGTTTCTGTCTCGTTCGTACCATGCCCCGCGCCGGCCTTGGTGTCGGCAGCATCGGCGGTGGCATCGGCGGTGGCATCGGCAACGGCGGCGTCATGTTCTGCCTGCACCATCACTAACACCTGCTCTACGTTGGACGTGTCCATGGCCGTGGTGGTGGCAGTGACGACGGAGGCTGCAGGGGCTGCGGAACTAACAGCCACTGCCTGCGCGCTGGCGGCGAAGCTCTGCTGGATGTGCTGGTGGTGCTTGATCTGCTTGATGGTGTTCTTGAGCGCCTGGCGCTTGTTGCAAAACCAGATGCGCACGACCTCGCGGTCGTAGCCCAGCTGCTCGGCGATCTGCGTCATCTCGGCGCTCGTCGGGTGCATGCCCACGTCGAAGTGCGCGTTGAGGATGACGAGCGCCTCCTGCGTGAAGGACGTGCGCCGCTTGCGCCGCTTGGACGGCTCGCTGCCGATGAAGTCGGTGAGCGTATGCGTGCCCATGCGGTGCCGCGCCTCCGCCTCGCCCATCCAGCGCTCCAGGATTGGGCGCATCTTCTGCGCGCTCTTGGGCGTCAGGTCCAGCTTCTCAAACCTGCCGAGGGATCAGCGGGCGGGATAGGCACCCGAGAACAGTTTTAGCTAAGTTATAATCTAACACGAGTGACGTACTTCATATTCTTAGCTCTTTCGGTAAAGTCACGTTGAAGGGAAACAATAAAATAATAATGCAAACCGACACACCTGATGACGACCATTTGTGTTATGGTCGAAACGTCGTGAGAATTTTTATTGTTGTATATATATTTAATTATTTCATTGTTTCCCTTCAACGTGAAAGAAAGAGCTAAGAATATGAATTACTGCAGTCACAAAAGCTTTAAATCAAAGAGTGATGTACTGTTCAGAAACGTGGTCATTAACAAAAAAGTGTCATGAAAAAAACTAAAAAAATTTTGGAATTACTTTGAGAGATGGAAAAGAGGAACACATGGATTAGAGAACTGCCGTGTAGCCAAGCCACACATCCATTATTAATATAAATGCCTAAACTTACATCCATGGAGTAGAAGGGCTATGGAGAGCAGGAGCAGAATGATGGTGAGATGTAAGGATGTGGTGGAGTGAGATTTGAGGACAGTGGATGTCCTCACGAGGAGAAGCACATCCCGTGCAATAATGGCACTTCTGGCTTCATCATGTCGACATTCATGATTCGCAAAACCAAAAAGTCTAATGCCACATATGGAAGAACGTTCCATTGGATAACTGTGAGTGATGTTATCTACTCGGGGAAGGGCTTCATCTGGAAGTGGATTGATCATGGATGACGATGATATTATAGCATGAAAAAACAATTAAGCATTTATGCCTCCCTTTCATGTTTATCGACGACTATAAACGTTTGCACGGCCAAAAATTAACGAAACGAGAGACGGGGAGCGCTCCTGGTTTTCGCCGCGTACCTGCAGATGGCCGACTGGCTGTAGGCGGGCCCCTCGGCAGCGCTCAGCGCTTGCCCCACCTGCGTCTGTGTGAGGCCCAGCGCCAGGCGGCGCAGCTTGAACACCTTGGCGAACTCGCGGATCTCTTCCAGGTCCACGGCCTCGCTCAGGTCCAGAACGCCGCCGCCGCTGGCGCCGCCGGCACCGCAGGGGCCGCCGCCGAGGCCGACGCCACCGGCCGGGCGCTCTTCCGCTGATGCAGAAATCGGCGTTTGCAGGATACCCAGAAAACACCCCCATTTAATGCCGGAAGCACAACACCGTTTCTTATTCTTTACATTTGGCTGTCAGAATTTTACCTCCGATTTACCGTCTGAGCTCAAACGATGGAAATTGGCACGTTGAAACGCTTGTACACGTGACCGATTAAAGTTGTTTGGCCATTGTCGGGCGGCGGAGGGTCTTGGCAAGATAGTTACGTGGCCTGACCCGAAAAACTGATGATGAACCAACTCATTGTCCATTGCTACAGAGAATATTAAGTAATAGAATACAGAAGGACAATGCCTTTCTGTGTTTCCACATATATAAAATAAAAAAAATAAAACATGATTTGGCGCTTTCGTGAGTGCAGGAATTACTCTTTGGTTCTTTCGGTAAAGTCACGTAGAAAGAGAAAAGAATCAATTAAATAATAGCATATGACGTTTCGATTGCAACACAAGCAATCATCATCAGGTACAAGTGAAAGAGAAAACAAACCTAGTAAACTTAGAAATATAATGCAATACAACACAGATAGTCGGCTAACATAACAGTCAACACCCTACCTGGTTGATTACGTTCTTCCAAGGATTGCTAAAGTTAAGAGAGAGATCAAACACAGAACCGGAGACACATAGACAGACACATAAGCAGAGAGAGATAATACAGAGACAGACACACACACATAGGCACACAGAGAAACAACGCCTCTGTGTCAAGGCCTTAAATAGACAGAGAGGGGGGGCAAAGACAGAGGGGGGGGGTAGAGAAATTAGCATGTCAATGAGAGACCTGGCGCAACTGCAGAAAGCAAGAGCAGCAAAACGAGCGGAGACAGAGAGAGAGAAAACACACTAAATCAAACAAACTTAGTAAAATTTGGAAATGTAATGCAACGCAATACAGAGAGTCGGTCAACACACAACGCATGGCCTGGTTGATTACGTTCTTCCAAAGATTGCCAAATTAGAAGTTAAGTGTGAAATTTGAGAGAGACAAGACACAGACACGGAGACACAAAGACAGACATACGGGCAGAGAGAGACAACACAGAGACACAGACAGAGAGAGAGAAAACAAACTTAAAACCTCGCCGTAGAGGTGGTTCAAACTTGCGTAACTGCAGGAAATAAGAGCAACAAAACGAGGGGAGACAGAGAGTGAGAGAGAAAACACACTAAATCAATCAAACTTAGTAAAATTTGGATTACGTTTCCAAATTTTACTAAGTTTGTTTGATTTAGTGTGTTTTCTCTATCTCCGTCTACCCTCGTTTTGCTGCTCTTGCTTCCTGCAGTTGCCCCAGGTCTCTCATTAACATGCTAATTTCTCTACCCCCCCTCTGCCCCCCTCTCTGTCTATTTAAAGCCTCGACACAGAGGCGTTGTTTCTCTGTGTGCCTATGTTGTGTGTCTCTCTCTGTGTGTCTCTGTGTGTGTCTCTCTCTGTGTCTATGTGTGTGTCTCTCTCTGTGTGTCTATGTGTGTGTCTCTCTCTGTGTGTCTATGTGTGTGTCTATGTGTGTGTCTCTCTCTGTGTGTCAATGCGGAGGCCCCGGGGGGCCAGGCGTCTATGACGTCTCCTGGCCAAACCCCAATTGGCGGAGCCAGGAGATTGAATATCTACCCTCGGGGCTTCTCCAGAAATAACGAAAAACCACTACGCGTGGCCACGTGGAATGTTCGAACGCTCACTGCGGAGGAGAGGCTGCCACTCCTCTGTCGGGAGTTGGACCGGTACCGCCTGGATCTATGTGGCATTCAGGAGGTCCGGTGGACCAGTTCTGGCTCCTGCCACCATGAGGGGTGGACAGTCCTCTACTCGGGGCAGCAGACTGCCAAACAACAGGGTGTGGCTCTTCTTTTGAACAAAAGAATGAAGGGGGCGTGGGAGCGTGGCGGTGAGGTGTGGGAAGCTGTAAGCCCCAGGCTACTTTGGGCTCGCCTACCCATCAACCGGAGGCGAGGAATGGTGGTCGTGGTTACTTATGCCCCCACCGAAGATGAACATCCGTGGAGGGATGCAGGCAAAGCCGATGAGTCAGATGCCTTCTATGACCTCCTGTCACAGGTGCTGACTAAAGTGGCCCCTGGGGATAGAGTCATCATGTTGGGTGACTTCAATGCCCAAGTTGGTCATGATGCTGGCACCTGGTCTCGAGTGATTGAAGGGCATGGGCCAATCAGCTCAATGACAACGGTAGGAGGCTGCTAGATTTTTGTGCAGCCCATGGGCTTGTAATTACCAACACGCTGTTCCGGCATCGGCGCATCCACACAACATCATGGATGCATGCCGGGTCCAAGCAAGAACATCTGCTGGACTACATAGTGACGGACCAGCGGATACGAGCCCATGTGCTTGACACCAGGATCTACCGTGGAGCTGATCTGCCCTCTGACCATCGACTAGTCATCTGTAAAATGCACCTGCCATTCTTCCACTCCGGTGGTGGGTGTACACCCAAGACCCCATTCCAACCTAAAGTGGCCTGGTCTCAGTTATCTGATGAAAGTTGCAAGCGAGAATTTCATCATCACTTGCGGCTGGGGTTGGCATCTTCCCCCACTCCTCCTGATGTCGAGGGTAAATGGGCGAGGTTTAGGACTGTGACTCATGCAGCAGTAATGGCTGCTTTGGGTACGCGGTCCAGACCTCCCCAGAGACCCTGGCTGACAGAGGAGGTGTTCAGGATAGGTTGAGAAAAAGCGACAGGCCCACTGTCATCAGCTACAGAATCCCACGTCAGAGAATGAGGCGGCTTACCGCAGCCTTCACTCGGAGGTTCAGAGAGCCGTGAGGCACTGCAAGGATGGGTGGTGGTCGCGGGTTGCTGAGGAGATGGAGTCTGCCTCAGTGGCCCGTGATCACAAATCTCTATTTAACTCCATCAAAAAAGTAACCTGCAGCGCTACACCTATTACCATCATTAGGGGAAAAAACGGTGATCCAATCTCCGACCCCCAGGAACAGGTTTTCAGATTTGCTGAGCATTTCTGTGAGGTCCTTGGGGTAGGGAAAATCCCTCAGCCAGGAAAACATCGTGGCACAAAGTGAGGATGACCCTGCTAAGGCTGCGGTGCCTCAAATATTGGAAGAAGTCACCCCCTGTGAGTGGCTGGCTGAGGTGCCATTTTTAGAGGAAGTACTGAAGGCGATCCGGAGTCTGAGACCAGGAAAGGCAGCGGGCAGAGATGATCTCTCAAGCGAAATGCTGAGGGAGGGTGGCGTTTGTGCACAGACTACCCTATATGACATCATAACAACAGTCTGGACCACTGGACGGGTTCCGTAGGATTGGAAGGATGCCCTGGTGGTCCCCCTTTTTTAAGAAGGGGGACCGCACAGACTGTAACAACTACAGGGGCATCTCACTCCTCAGTGTGCCGGGAAAGGTCCTAGCAAGGATTATTCAACATCGCCTTGCCAGGCACGCTGAGGAGAGGATTGCGGAGCCCCAATGCGGTTTCAGGAAAGGGCGGTCCTGCACAGATGCCATATTTTCTGTCCGTCTGCTACAGCAGGGGAATTCCAGCAAGACCTACATCTCTGCTTTATTGACCTGGTCAAGGCCTATGATACCATCAGTCGGCCTGGGCTCTGGGTTGTTCTTCGTGCTTTTGGAGTACCTGACCCTCTGCTCACGATCATTAAGGACCTTCATGATGGTGAGCGGGCCCGGGTAAAACTACGTGGCCGGGAGTCAGAGCCATTCCCTGTACACCTTGGGGTGCGACAGGGATGTCCTCTGGCTCCCACATTATTTAACATCTATTTTGACCACGTAGTTCGTGAATCCTTCAATAGCTGTACCGGGGGAATCTCCATATGGTACAGATATAATGGGAGGCTGATCGATGCTCGGGTGCAGTCAAGGGATGGCTCCCTATTGCTCAACCACGTTATGTATGCTGATGATTTGGTAATAGCTGCTCATTCAGAGGAGTAGTTGGAGATGCTGCTGCTGAGACTGGAGTGTGCCACTAAGAGGTGGGGCCTTACCATAAGCCCCACCAAAACGAAGCACCTGCCTGGGTATTTTGTACCATCGGACACTCCACCCCCACAACTCCGAATCGGTGATGGGGCAGTTGTGGAGAGAGTGGAGAGTTTCCCATACCTGGACAGTGTGCTTATGACCGGCTCCAGTTTAACAGCAGAGGTCTCACTCCGAATCAGTCGAGCGGCAATATCTTTTCATCGGTTGCGTAACGCTGTGTGGAAGCTACCTGATCTGTCGCTCCGCAATAAGCTTCAGGTCTTCTCGGCCACGGTCATTCCCTCCCTTCTCTACGCTTGGGAAACGTGGACCCCCCTAATGGAACATCTTCGCCGATTAGAAACATTTAGGCTGGCCTGCCTACGATCCATCCTGGGTTTAACCAGACTGGATTATGTGAGGAGCTCACACATCCTTGAAAGATCTGGGCAAGGTCCCATCGGTGAGCTCCTCCGGCGGGCAAGGCAGCGATGGCTGGGTCATGTAGCCGGCATGCCTAGCCACCGCATGCTGAAACAGCTTTTATTCGGCCAGATTGAGGGGGCTAAACAGGCGCGGCACGGGCTAGAGAAGAGATGGAGTGATGTGGTACAGGAGGACGTGGAGCTGAGTGGACTTGCCGATGAATGGTACCAGTGGTGTCAAGATCGGCCTCTGTGGAGGAGGCTCGTGAAGGACGCTACTGGGCAGTTGGAGGCAGTCGCCCTCCAACAACAACGGAGGGCGGAGGAGCGACGCTCACAACAATGAGCGGAGCGCCGGGTGGCTAAAGCACAGCAGGTTGGCACAGTAGGGGGCACAGGTGGTGCATCAGCCAGTCATCTCAGTCATCTTAGTCAGTCAACCCGTGGCACTTGGGTCTGCCCCGTGACCTCCTGCCAGCAGGCGTTCGACACTTCACGTGGCCTCAAGGTGCACATGGCCTGGCACAAGCGTCGTGGTGACGTCACCGCCACTTAGTGGCGATTGGCGGTTGTTGTTGTGTTTCTCTCTGTGTATCTCTGTGTTATCTCCCTCTGTGTGTCTCTGTGTCTCTCTCTGTGTCTCTCTCTGTGTCTCTCTCTGCTTGATTGTCTTTAAGGCCTCGACACAGAGGCGTTGTTTCTCTGTGCGTCTATGTTGTGTGTCTCTCTGTGTGTCTCTGTGTTATCTCTCTCTCTGCTTAAGTGTCTGTCTATGTGTCTCTGGTTCTGTGTTTTAGCTCTCTCTTAAATTGAGCAATCTTTGGAAGAACGTAATCAACCAGGTAGGGCGTTGACTGTTGTGTTGGCCGACTCTCTGTGTTGTATTGCATTATATTTTAAAGTTTACTAGGTTTGTTTTCTCTTTCATTTGTACCGGATGATGATTGCTTGTGTTGCAATCGAAACGTCGTATGCTATTATTTAATTTATTATTTTCTATTTCTACGTGACTTTATCGAAAGAACCAAAAAGTAAAAAAAATCAAATCAATATCAAACATTTCTGTCAGGAAGCTAACTTCACCCTAATTTAAAATCAATATAATTTATAGCCAAGGTAGAGTGGTGGCGCAACAGGTTGGCGCACTTCGCTTTAAGCCTCTAAAATCGGGTTCCCGGCCGCGGATAACATCAATGGCGAGTGACATCTGAACTGGTCCTGAGGCGCCATAACTTCACCCGTCCACACTGACAAGCATGGTAAAGTATGGTCAAAGAACTTCCTCGAATGACCCGGTGTGGAGAAGCCTTCGTCCAGCAGTGGATTGACACAAGGCTGTACAAAACATAGGGGATGAAGGGCCCCGAGTTGACCCGCAACCGGGATTTGAACTCCCATCATTGATATTGGGGTGGCAGGGTGGCAGTGGTAATGTTCGTGCCTCACATCAACAAGGCCCTGGGTTCAATTCTTAACTGAAAAATAACTTAATGCCTCAGTTTTATTTATATATTTTATTAAGCGATTTGTTTTCCTTTCCTATATCTTGGACTCCAATCGTGTTTTTGTATTTTTTGATGTTGTGATGTTCTTACCCACCCCTTACTGGATATCTGTGAAAAAGAGCTTTATAGCTCATCGGATTCCTCCAATATAAATATTCAGATTCTGTGGAGTTTGTATGTTCACCCTCCGTTCTGCATGGGTTTTCTCAAAATAGTTTTCCCTCCAAACATCCCAATCATCCCGACTGCGAAACTTTGGCAGTTGCTGGAGCGGAAATTATACGGAGAGGAGTAGAGTGAGATGAGAGGGGAGAAATGAGAGATATAAACGAATATATTTTTGATTTGAAGCTTTTGACTGCAGGAATTACTCTTTGGTTCTTTCGGTAAAGTCACGTAGACTTTACCGAAAGATCCAAAGAGTAATATATGTTTTATTTCATCAGGTAAGACCGGCCTACTGAGCTAAATAGCTCTTTTTCAGAAGCGACCGGCTTATCACATGGAAATGTATAGCAGCCAAATACTTTAAACGCACGTTGATTCTAAATGTGGAGGGAAAAACCAGAGGACCCAGAGAAAAATCCACGCGACCATGGGGAGAACATGCAAGTTACAAATATACAGGTGTCGGGGTCGGGATCGAACCCACGACCTGGATACCAGGTGAGGTAGTTAACATCTCGCCACCGTGGAGGAGAGTAGAGTGAGATGAGAGGGGAGAGTTGGAAGAATGCGGTAAAAACAAAAATGTCAAGGTGTCCACGAACCGGCAGAGAGGTTCACGCTGATGACTGCTGGCGCCCCCTGGCCAGCCGTCTGGGTGGGGGCGATTCCGTTGGGCTGCGCAAGGAGCAAGCTGCACTGCGCCGTCTGCAGGGATGGGGGAGCGGGGGTGGTATATGGGGAGGTTTCCACATGGGAGACAATGATGTCTGGTCACCATCACCATGTCTACCAGTCTCCTCTGGTGAAATATGAATCACGCTCTTACACATTATTCATCCGTCCAAAGATTGACCACCCACAACGTTGACATGAATTAGTTTCAAGAATAGATTATTTTGTCCCAGTCTGTCTGTCCTGCCTCGTCTGTACTGTTTCTAATGTAAACCTCTTTTAGATTATATACCGTCTAGTGTACTCTTCATTGTCTCGTTTTTACTACCTGTTCCATGTCTACCATCTCGCCGGTGATATGGGGAAGCCTTCATCCAGTAGATGATTGACAAAATACGGTTAACTATTATTTTTGAGTATCTAGCAGATAAAACACTCACACACGAATGCATGCGAGCGCGATTCACCGTGGCGTCGTTTGACCATAGACTCCGCTGGCGCTTCTGTTGCCGTCACTTGAAAGTGCAATCGTCAGCAAGTTACCGCTCATTGGCACGCTGCGAGATAAATATCCCCACCCCTGCCCGCAGTGGACCCGACAGCCGCTACCTGCTTGCTGCGCTTGAGTATAGGGACGTTCCTAATGGCCTTGGCCGGCTTCTCCGCCGCGCCAACCGGCGACGCCGTGACAATCTTCAGAGGCGACGTCACGCTCGCGCAGCCGCCGGCCTTCTGCGCCACCTTTACCGGCGACAGGGCTATCTGCGTCGGCGAGCTCACGCCCTCCAGCAGCTGCTCGCCCGCTGTTATCAACTGGTTGCCGACGACGCTGTACTTCGGCGTCGCCACCTGGTTGCTGGCGGGCGCCGGCGTGGAGGTGGCGGCGGCCGTGGTGGCATAGAGCTGCCCGCTGGGGTCCATGGGGAGGAAGTGAGACGTGGGCTGTATCAGCTGAGTGCCGGGACCGGCGATGGGCATGAGCTGGTTGCCGATGAGGACGCCGACCACCTGACCCTGGGCGTTGGTGACGATCTGCGGCGTGGCCGTCTGCAGTTGGCAGGGTGCTGGCGGTGCCGGCACCGGCTGTGGGGTCGTCTGGGGAGGCAAGCTCACGAGCGGGATGATGCTCACTGCCTGCTGCAAAGAGACAAAGATTCCCGTGCAGTCGTTACTAATAAACCAATCTTTATTTGCATAGCGAAGTTTGCATCAGTAAAGGCGTCTCAGAGTCCTTCACGTAAAATACATTTACATGAATGCTCAATACAATTTGTGAAATACAAGACTTTCAGTTTAAAATAAAGCAATGTATCCCAGGTATTATAATTTAAAACTCATTCAATATCTGTAGTAGTTTTATGCCAAAGCTTTTGTTATCAACCCTCAACCACTCAAAAAGATTAACATGTTCACAAAGATATTAAGTAAACGCCATTTATGAAATGGATTAATTTGCATACGTGTGAAATAATTTACATTAAAAGTAGCCAGGTCCAATTTACAAATGGAAATGACTCATTCTCTGGTAGCTGGTGACGTTACGGCCAGTACTTGAGTACAACTGGTTGCAGCAGCCTCTCACTCGAAGCACAAGTTCGCTCCCTGGTGAGGTGCAAGAGCAGTCTGAGCGAAACGTCGCCATACGTCGACGTTGAATTCAGTCAAGGATAGTCTTAAGTCGCCAGCGAGAAGGAGCTTCAAATCGGTCAGAATTTGATCGTCAATACATCGGCCGCGTAAAAATAATAATGACGTCTTTGTTAACGTGGCAATCTTGTCGGGTGAAGAACAAGAATGTGGGCATAAAACTACTGTGGCAGAATCCAAAAACAAACTTGGATCATTGCACTGGCTAGGAAAACCTTCGTTTTGAGTGAATAATTTATAATTAACAGACTTGGGGAAAATACTGCTGACGCACACTGCATACCCAAGGGAGTGGTCTGGCCCATACTACGCCTGGCTACCTTTGTCTCCCCAGTGCTGATGTTTGTAGACCGCACAAGGTACACGTTGGGCTGAATTGATGAGGCGAGGCCCGGGACCGATTCTGATATTACTCGCCGCTGATATTATCCCGGGATCACAAATGTCAGATTTACAATGCGCACAAAATTCACGCGATGAGTCACGAACACAAGTCAGACACGCGAGATGGGAGATGGTGGTGGCCTGCAGAGGCGTTCAACCAGCAGCGGACTGACCATAGCTGGTGATGATGAAGTCTCCTCTGAGCACAATGTCCATGTGCTATGCAAGTCCACTTACTTGTAGGGGGCCCGTGCGGCTGGCGGTGGGCAGTGCTGGGCCCTTTTGCACAGTCTGCTTGGGGCAGGCCTGCTGTGCCATCACTTGTTGCACCTGTTGAACGGCTTGCACCTGTTGCACAGCTTGCACCTGTTGCACAGCTTGCACCTGTTGCACAGCTTGCACCTGCTGCACCTGCTGCACCTGCTGCATTTGTTGCACCTGATGGACCTGATGGAACTGTTGCACCTGCTGCACCTGCTGCACCTGCTGCACATGCTGCATCTGCGAGCCGACGATGGTCGGAGCTGTAGTGGCGACAACGAACAGCAGATGGCGTTGGGAGACAGCCGAGAGGAGTAACTTGACATCATAATCGTGCCGTGCGCAGTGTCGCATGCCCGTAATCCCTTATTGTGGAAGCCTCTGGTTGTGCGTATGCAAGTTAAACTTACTTCGCAACCGTACGTAGCTAACCGTGCCAATCGGTTGACGGATCATGTGCGCGTTTGTGAAACTCCCATACGTGTTGGGCTGCGAAGTGGCCAGCATTAGGCAGCAGAGCAAGTGAATTTGTGCAACCCATCCAACTGTGTGACGTCAATTGCTTTGGATTTCTACGGTTCCCTCTCGCATATGAAACACTCGCTCATTGAAATGTCCAAACACCCCAGTGCAAGGACTATAACAGACATCTTCAGATTCAGTCTTGCCTCAATAAACGAAAGGAGTTGTTAAATATAATTTACAAACCTTTGTCAGTCCAATGCTGGACAAAGGCTTCTCCACACCATGTTGGTCATGGGGGTTGACCATACTTCACTATGCTGGTGAAGGGGAGGGAGGGCGGTGGGGGGGGTCCCAGGACTAGCGCAGATGTCCCTTGCCATTGACGTGAGCCGTGGCTTGGAATTTAACTCAGTTTCTTGGCTTTCTAGCGCAGTGCACGAACCACTACCTCACTACTTTCTAATCTTTACCCGTAGAAACGTAAGTTTTTCGACCCAATTACCCATCAAAGTGTTTATTTAAGTAACTATAATTTCAGCGGCCTTATTCTAGCTCCTGCCTACAAAAGAAATAAGGACTCTATTATACATAGGGTGTGTAGGTATATTTGCCTACAAAATAAAAAAAAAACATTTTGGGGGGGGGGGGTCGACGATTTTTGGATAAACTTTCGACCCCCACATCTGTCGAGGGGTCCACTTTCTATCATTTTTTGATTCAGGCCTTCTGAAAGGCTCTTGTAATTTAGTTGACGGGCAAATGGACGGACAAACGGAACGCCGGGCTTTTATAATAGAGGACTCGTTTTACTCAAGAGTAACCAGGGACGTTTGGTTTTGATTGCATATTACCTATAATTTTTGACCTACATCACAAAATCTGTAATGAAATGGTTCCCTGTGGTAATCTCAATGAGTGGTTGTCCCATCTGGCGGACAAAGCTTGATTTTCAAGAATCCAATGTACATAATTGACCAGTCAGTTGAGGCTGAACCCTAATCGGGCTTCAGGGTTCATTATAGTTTTAAAGATAAAAGCAGTTTAGCAAAATAACTAAATCACCCCGTACGTAGGATGGGCTTGTACCAGCTTGTTGGACAACGGACTGAATTTTGTTTTTATCAAAACAACAAAAACAAACACACGCACCCTGCAACGTCTGTAGGGGCAGCACCACCAGCCCCCCTCCCCCACCCGTTGCCATCCCCAGCGTCTGAATCCCGGCCAGATTCAGCGCACTGGCCGCCAAACCGCCGGCATTGCCGGTGCCCATCAAGGCACCCTGGACACCGGATCCCCCGGCACCGGCAGCCAGCAGCTGCCACCACATGGGTGCAGCACCAGCGCCGCCACTCGTGCCGCCAACCGCTCCGCCTCCTGCTGTCGCGGCATCGACGAGCCCCCCAGATGGGAGCGTGAACAGCAGGCTCTGCTGGGAGCCACCCAGCTGCCCTGCCAGGCTGATGGGGATAAGGAAGGGCTGACCTCCAGGCTGGGCCATCACCCCTGCAGACACCGTCTGCCCCAGCGTTTGGCCCAGCGTTTGGCCCAGCGCCTGACCCAAAATTATCTGTCGGCACAAACGCAAACGACGATGGCAGCGAACAATGAAAACGAGTGAGCAACGACCATGTTAAACTATTAAAGTAGACTATGTTTTACCAGCTAAGGCCCACTGAGCTATGTAGCTCTTTTTTCAGAAGCGACCTGGTCACAAATGATAGCCCAATGAACTGGCTTATCACGTGGATATTTATAGCAGCCAAATACTCTAAACACATGTTGATTCTAAATGTGGGGGAAAAAACCGGATGACACGGAGAAAAATCCATGTGACCGCGGGGAGGGACACATGCAAGCTCCAACTAAACAGGTGTCAGGGTCGTGATCGAACCCATTGCCTCCTGTATACCAGGCGAGGTAGGTAACATCTCGCCACCACATCATTACAATGATATCGCTGTGTAGGTGTTTGGGATTGAGCTGTATTGCTCCGTGACGTGTGCTCGGGTTGAGTACCACACGTCGTTCGGCATGATGCCCGACGCTTCACTCAATTAGCCGCCTTCATGTCAGAAAGCTCAACCAAACAGCCTCAAGAACAGGACACACCAGCACCACCACCACCAGCAGCAGCCAGAAATGCTACTCTAATCATTTTTTCCAAAGCTCCCATCAGCACGTCGAGCGAAACGTCGGCCATCGTGCCGAATAACATGCAATACAACCCGTAAACACATCGGAGAGAATTACGATGATTATAATGCGGTCCATGGAAGCCAAGTAGGATTTTTAGCCTGGTTAGTGTTTGGATGGGAGAATACCACACACTGTACACGGGATAGAAGTCATCCATGAGATGGCTGTACAGCAGTAAATTCGGTAATTTATGTTGAGCTATGAATGTTAATATTCTCTTATGTATGGTAAATTATTTGCTGGGCACTCCGATTTCCTAACTCATACCAAACACTCCTTAAAGGAATTGGCTAAACAATCCCAATGCAGGACCCTTGTGAAAAATAGTTGAGAGTCGATAAATATTTCTTGGATTAAGGGCAGTATTTTTTATTGTTATGGGTAGTGGCGAGTTTTAACCCCACATTTATATTTACGTGATCTAACCCAAAAAATACTATTATGGGGATAATTATTTGCAATCCCATGGTGTTTGCATATATCGGTACAACTGTGAGTGTACTTATTTTCTCACCTTGCCAGGAAAAATATGAGCCGCAGATTCGGCTGCTTGGCAATGTGCAACAGGTGTGATAGCGACCCCCCTCACAATAATGAGATCAAGTAATTGCGGACTACTACTGTTCTCAGAAAGTGCAAATTGGGAACAGTTCCTGCATCATTGCAATGATTCACACCTGACAATTGCGGTTCACGCACAGTATTTTTCGCATTTAAAGAGGTTAGGGCAACACCTGCAATTGAATCATTTGGCGGGACCCTGGGGTCCCGCAAAAATCAGGTCAATAATTATTATTTTTCAGTCCGCCCACTCGTGATCCCTACAGCAACGCGCCGCCCGCCCAGACTCGCGCCAACAAGCGCCAGCAGCAGGCGGCGATCGACACGATGGGCGCCACCCCACCGGCCAAACGCAAGCCAGGGGGGCGTCTGCCGCAGACGCGCGCGGCGACAACGCCCTCCGGTCAGCCGTCGATCCTCAGCTTCTTTGCCAAGGCGAGTCCGCCCTCGCAGTGAATTTAACGTGTTTATGTAATTTTTAAACTTTTTACGAAACTTAGTGCCCCGAGTAGCTCTCGACGAGGCCAATCGATTGACACTAGTTTTGTTGTTGTCGGTAAGGCAAGACTCTTGTCGCTACGCGGTTTTTCCCACCCTGGGGCAGTGATGGGACCCCAGGGTCCCGCCAATTGCTTTAATTGTTCAGCGTAGGATTACATCAACTTTGAAAGTAATTTTGCATTGGAGATGTAGTGGATAGAGCACTGCACTTTGAACCCAGTCACCTGAATTGAATTCCTTATCACAGTTAACATCAGCAGTGAACGATATCTGAACTGGTCCTGGGTTCTAACTCTCCATCAACATGCACTGACCAGTACTGTGAATGATAGTACACAAACACACTTGCATAATCGACTTTGTCTAGAAGGGAGGCCTTCACTGTTGGATTGATAAACGGCTGTGTTGTGTATATAGGCCTTTTCCCATTTTTTTTGTTTTTGATATTAATAATGATTTTGCCAATATATAATTTTTATATATAATCACTTGCGGGGTCGCTGGGAGCACAAACAAACGGAACCCCCCCCCCCCCTTTTCGAGCAGCTGTATTGTCACTCTCGCAAAGATAATGACACCCTCCCCTCCCACCAACAGAAAGGGTCAGTCATAAAGTCAAATAAAAAAACACACACACGCCCCCCCCCCCCTCCGGACGAAGGATAACAGACAGGCGTTTCGTTTTGGTTAACTTTTTCATGCTTCTGCTAACAAATGGTAAAAATTCCAAAACTTAGCGACCAAAGATGAAGCTAACATTATCGATCCTCACACTCACTCCAATTAAAATCAAGGCTACAATCTACATCAGTGGATCATTACTCATTTATTAATTCAATACTAATGTTATTTTCACCTTAAATAATTTTCTACACAACCTGACCGAAGCATCAAGAATAATTCTGGCAGTCAGGGTTATTCCTAAGCCAAAACTAATTCTCTAACATCGGGATATCAGATAATAACAATAACTCGAGAACAAACAGCACAAACCCAGGATACAGGCGGTGGAGCAAAAATTAATAAACCCTAAGAAATACGTGGTGATGATGTTAAATCATAAATCTTGGGAAACATAAACCAAATAATAATTATGCAGTATTAAACCGAGGGTTATCCAGAAGAGATGAGGTGAAATAGGTCAAACTTACACAACCAAGATAAACTGTATCCCATAGGAAAAGAGCCTCCCAACCGTCTTTGTCTTCCCGCAGCACGGGACAGCAAAGAATGTAACGCCCAGAGCGAGGGAAATGACTCTTACAGAGAGCTTTTATTGCAGGTGGGGCATCTGTGTTCCAAGGATGAAAAGATGGCTTGAGGAGGGTGACAGTAATCAAGCCAGGGAGAGACACAGATGGCTTAATAAATGACACACACACGGACACACGGACAACCCCCCCCCCCACAACACAGAGCGAGATCAAAGGACGTTCCGGTCCTTTATGAGAAGGCGAGCAGAGAAATACATTTTGGCATAAAAAGAGAGACACGGGCCATACATTGCATCGCAGCTACCAGCGGCAGAAGACGGCGACCATCAGCTACCGAAGATGACCAGCTACCGAAGATAACAACCAGCCACCGACGCAGGAGATCACCACCGACACAGAAGAAGCCTGCCAGCAGAAGAAGACCCCGCAACTCATCCAGGATGGCGAGGCTCGCCGAGCAGCGACATGCTACGCCGTGCGAATTCAGCACCATCAGAAGAAGTATCGCTCGAAAATCATTCCGCTCTGGGCATCGACTCACAAGAGCCACTGCAGTTCAAGCTAAGCTGATGAGAATTCCAGCATCATCCGCGAGAGAGGGCGGAAAGCGCCAAACGTCGACCGAGCCTGCCATCAACGAACGAAAGCATCGTTCATCGCCAGAGAGCCGGAGCCGGAGAGGGCGCGCAGTCGCGCCGCCAACGCCACCGAGCACGGGTGCCGGCTTGCCAGCGCACGAGCGACTGAGCATCTCCAGGACGGGCATCGTGCCGACGCAGCTCATCATCCAGCGGCGGAGAGAACCGACGGCTAACGTCAGACACGCCGAGCGAGAGAGGGAACCAGCCGTCGTTCGTATACCCTCCCCCACACTCACAAACCCACGACGCTCCAGGCGTCTGCTCACACAAGAATTTACCAGAGACAATCCAACGCACCCACACAATAAGAAGACTAATTATAAAAGTGCATGAACCATCAGCTGGCCGTGAAGGCATCGCGGCTCATCGAGTGATAAGAATACGTCGTTTATAAGTACATTAATTTTTTCTTCTTATTTTGTTTTATGTGATTTTACTTCTAATCGCATAAATTACCAATAGATTCATAGATACAAACTAAACTTTTTAAACCTTCGTCACAAATCTACACACTCACAGAGAGAATATCGTGTTAAACCTGTTTCTTTATCATGTAATCTTGTCCACGAATTAATTAAAGCTTAGCCAAAGATAAGAATCTCCCGTAGGAGGGCACACACCCCGTCGCACACCCTTATTCCAAGACATTTAGTTAATTATATAATCTTGCCGATTAATCTATTGACGTATACTTTTGCTTTTGGGGTATAATCATTTGCTTTTATTGCCTTTCGTATGAATATCGTTGCATGCCTGTTTTAAAGACTCTCCCTATCACTGACTAAGCTTGTGTTACGCGGTGGAATTAATCATATGTGCAGTTGCCAAAGTGAAACAACGCAACCATTGATGGTTAAATGTACTGCTCACTGAGGGAAATTTCCCCGATGGTACCGGGGGTAATTCCAAGCATGAGAGTTCGCATATTAGAGTGGCATGTTTTTGTTTAGAATTAAAATTGCTTAACACAGAAGTGTTTGAGTGTTTCTTTCCTAAGTTCATGCGTAATAATCTTAATAATAACTGTATCCTGCGGTGAGATTTGAATTTGGAGACCTGACATAAACACACTAATACATAATTAGTAAATGTTAAAGCGAGAATAATTGTATTATACTGATTGATAATACAAACCTAGACAACGAAGCCAAGCTTAATCTAGCATACTTACAGCACACCTGCATAACTTCATACAATTAATTGTATGATCCTGATTGATGATACGACCCTGGGCAATGAAGCTAAGCCTAATTATCATAACTGTGCACATTAGCATAATCGCATACATTTACATAAAGTAATACGAATATATCTCTAATTAGCATAATTTATGTGCATAGTTTTGGATAATTACGCATTTTTTGGAAATTTCATTTACATTTTATTATTTTCATTAAATTTTCAATACCCGGCATATACAACACCTGTCTGTTATTTTTCATATTTTTTTCACAAGAGTAATTATAAAGCACCTTGTATCAGGCTAGCACATAAACCGCGGGAGCAACTGAACCGGCACAACACATGCTCAAGCACATTGGTCTCCGTTACTGATGGTGACTCGCACACACACCCGCCAAGTAATCTCCTTAAGACAAGCTTGTCCCAAGGGATTGTCGCCATACAATCACTGGAAAACTCGCCATGTGTGCCTGGTGAGACAGAGGCACACACGCGGGTACAAAAATGTGATGATCCTGTATTTAAACTTACAAAGTGTTGGGACAAGTGCTGTTGGGGAGCACCGCACACGATGAGGTAATGTGTGGCCAGCACCACAACCAATGCTAATGAATACACACAGGGATCAAGTACTCATTTAATGCAAAATCAATCTAGAAGAGGGCCAGGAAATGTTTATATATCACTCGCCACTGATGTTATCCATGGCCAGGAATCGTGCTCAGAATGCGAGGATCATAGTGCACACACGTGAACAGCTGGTCCACTGCTCCCCATTCTGGGGCACACACATGCACACGACACACACGCTCGCCGCTCACACCTGTGTTGCGCCTGCATTGCCAGGCACGTGGTTTGTCTTGCCAGTCTCGATGATAGCTCTGGCGGCTTCCTGTAGGTTTCCCCGAGTCTCTGCCAAAACACACGTCCAAATGCACAATCACCATGCTTGCCTCACGTCTCCTACACCGATGAAAAATGTATACGGGTGCACAGTCCAACTACAGTCGGCAATCTTAAAGCATGTACCACAAAGTAACATCACTGCCTGCTTCGATCATTCGCTGCCAGAGATTCAGCCTGATGCTGTCCACTGGCTCATCCACCCCATCATGAACGTATAAATGTCGTTGATCACCTTCCCGCCATACGAGATAACAGGAAGTTAATGCCCCTTGCCGCATGCGCTTCTACTATTTTCTGTTGGAAGCAGGCCATGGCCTAATATCTCCAAAAAGGAATGGAAATGGATTCGGTCATCACTTCATTCTGAATAAATTAGAGCTCGGCTGTAAGATTTTCCGAGGTCATGCATGGTCTCATTAGCACAGCTTCATGAAGTCATTTCCACTTTAGCGGGTGCTCTGGACTGTGGCATCACATCACACGTGCCTGCGCAAACAAACCAACAAATTACATTGAAGCTGCTTGCAACCGCATACAAATAAGAGTATTCTTTTTTTTATTTTGATCGCTCTCATGAATCAGACGTAATTATCCCAATAAAAGGAATTCATTCGGTCGTCCACTCATTTGTAATTATCACACTTCCGGCCACTGTTCTGCAATTACCCAGATGCTTACCTCTTAATTGCACAACGAGCTCAAAACCTATCGCGCACGAAACCCATTAGACAGCAACATCAATAATGAGATAATGATAACAGGGTGACGCTGGGCAGCAAGGCTCGCAAAAAAGATAGAGTGTAAGAAGATGATGATGAAGATGATGATTTTAATTGAGGCTCAGCTTAAGCTCCACTCAACAAGAGGGAGTGGAGTGTGGCAACGCAGCAGTGAGCAGCATCTTAAGACAGATGCACGGCGTACCTCACCTGGCGAATCCATCGCCACATGTCAAGCTACAGCTCATGCTCGGTTATCCGTGGGTAGATTTATGCGGTGGCGGATAATCATCCGTGCGAATAAATAAATGAAAAATATAAATTAAGGTATTTCACGCTGGTGCGTGCCTTTTTATGCACACTCCTAGTAATAGTTTATCATAACTCGCGACTCAATTACTTTAAGAAGCACTACAAATGGATGAGACATTCCATGACTTAACCACCAATCTACAGAGGTAAGCAATAATCCATAAAAATAATTTTATGATTATGCTTCTCTACCCTGGAAAGCCTCACCGAGTCTCAAGACTTTTTTTCAGGAGGGTCCTGCCAAGTTTTCACAGTTTAAGGTGATGTTGTTGTGTGTAATCTCAATGTATTTGGAGGTAATTCTTCAGCATTGGGATGTTTGGCCAATACCAGTTACATTGTGTTTTTAGTACTGTATGTGTTTTTTATCAGCTACTTTGTATGTGTTCTGCATTATCGGTGATTTTTTTTTTATCAGGGAAATCCCTCCGTCTTCACCATGGAAATTTGAGTTGACTACCTCATATCCAGACCTTGCAACCAAATTATTTGCAGAAGCCAGCCGAGCTGCATAATTGTCAAACTATCCTGTTTAAAAGTAGAGTTAGCTTTAAGGTTTCCACTTGTCCTGGTTTTCCCAGTACGTCCTCATATTAATGTGGCTGTGCTATCATTGTTCACGTGACATTGAATATCCCACTTTTTGTCAGCTGCATAATAATGCACCACTCAAGACAACGAATTTAAATGTATTTCTGCCCTCTTTTGGTATTGTGAGATATTCTTCCCATAACACGTCCCGTTTTTTCCCCCCTCCAAAGTGGCAACCCTAGTTGGCTTACAAGTGCATTGTCGTAAGAGCTTCCATACCTTCTTTACTCATCAACATCGCCGTGTCTCCGCCGTCCACTGGACCGTCCGTTTCCTCCGTCTCGATGGTGCCCGCCTCCTCCTCGACCACCTCCATGGTCATGTCCCCTGCGTCCTTCTCGCCGTCCGTCACGTCGTCCCCGAACGTCTGCCCCACGGGGTCCGACTGATCTCCGCACATCAGCACCTCCTGCCAGGGTCACCAGTGTCGCTTTCACTACGCGAGACGTTTGGCAAAGAGCGATGGCAAAATATCGAAGCGTATACCGTACTCCTGCCATGAGCATGCCACGTGAATTTAACACGAAGGCTTTCGCAACCAAATATTATCCATGATAAAGGTTTTTTTTAGATTAGATCGCGCATATATAAATGTGTCGCTAAACCCGCCATCACCCGACACAGTCATTAATGGAAACAAAACGTGCTAATTAGTTACTACAGTATTCTTTGGGTCTTTTGGTAAAGTCACGTAGATAGGTTCAAATTAATAAAAATAAAATAAACAATAAAATTCTACGTTTCCATCACAAAACAAGTGATCGTCATCAGGAGTAAAAAAGGAGGGGGAAAACTGATTAAGGCAGGCTGTTTTCAAGGTTTAAAATTGGTGTAGCCCAAGGGATATAAACGAAGTGGGCGGGGCTAGTGATGTCAATGTAATAAATTAGCATGTTAATATAAGATCGGAGCGTTTTAAATAGATTAAAGGGGGGTGAATGTAGTCATAAATTACAATGAATCACGTTAATCTGAGAATATGCAGACGAGGTGGCCAAGTGGTTAAGGCGATGGAGTGCTAATCCACTACTCTGCACGTCCAGGGGTCTGAATCCAACTTTCGACGACAATTTTTGGGGAGGTAAAGTGGCCCAGCAACACCCACTACTCGTTGCAGAGCTTTGCAGATTAAATCCGACTGGCCGCCCTAGTTATTAATGAGGGTATATTACCCATAAAATATGGACCATCTGCTTCACGGTGGACAATGGAGATCTCGTGAAGTCATTGTGTGCTGGCGTCATGGTCCAAATTTACCAAATTACCTGCAAATTAATAAAATTTGGATTACACACAGCAACATCGTCCCCACTGTGATACTACTGTTGACTGTGAAACATATCCTAAAGCAGGGGTGTCCAAAGTACGGCCCGCGGGCCAACTGCGGCCCGTCATCCATTTTTAATTGGCCCGTATCAAAGTCTAAAAATATAATGCACTATGGCCCACTGTATTGCACTTCTTAGTTTTAAAACTAGGTGGCGCTATTGTCTTGAACAAGGCAGCGTCTCCACAAAGCAAGCAATCGATGAAAAAAAATTTGCTCAGGGTCACCAGAAATTCCGGAACCGAAGAGACGCAAGGTTGCAAGCGAGTGCAGAAAATTTCAGACTCGGTGGAAAAATGAATATTTTCTCATAGAAACCAAGGGGAAGTGTGTTTGATTGATTTGTAATGAGAGTGTTGCCGTGATGAAAGAATACAATGTACAACGGCATTATGAAACAAAACATCATACCTTCACGTCCTACACTGGCGCTGAGCGGAGAGATGGCAGCTAGCCTGCTAACGTAGCAGCAGGTTTTTTTTCCGTGCTAACAAAGCTCAAGAGAATGCAACAATAGCCAGTTATGAAGCAGCTCAACTCATTGCCCTACACGGGAAACCTTTCTCAGACGGTGACTTCATCAAACAGTGCCTCACTAAAGTCGTGGGAATAATGTGCCCGGAGAAAATGCAGGATTTCAACAATGTTAGTATGTCCAGAAATACGGTTGTGCGGCGAATTGAAGACTTGTCGGCTAACTTAAAACAGCAAGTGTCAGATAAAGGTTGTGCCTTCGATTTTTACTCGATTGCATGTGATGAGAGCACAGATGCCATGGACACTGCACAGCTGTTATTTTTTTTGCGGGGAGTTGATAATTTTTGCATTACGGAGGAACTGCTCGATCTTCGGAGTCTAAAGGGGATAACAACTGGGAAGGACATGTTTGAAGCTGTGTCAGATGCAATTGACCAGGCTGGACTTAAATGGGACAAGCTGTGTGGAATTACAACGGATGGGGCTCCAGCAATGACAGGCGAGCGCAAAGGAATTGCCTCTATGGTGAGTGCCAAGGTGCGGGAGAGTGGAGGTGAGGCTGTTAAAATACACTGTATCATCCACCAAGAAGCCCTCTGTGCCAAGATAATCCAACTTAGCGATGTGATGAACACAGTTGGGAAAACTGTCAACATAATTCGGGCACGAGGGCTTTACCACAGAGAATTTCAAGCGTTCCTCTCTGATGTCGATGCTGAATACAGGGACCTACTCTACCATTCTCAAGTGCGCTGGCTCAGTCGCGGCTCCGTGCTGCAGCGGTTTTATTCCCTGAGATCAAATATCGACAAGTTTTTGAAAGAAAAGGGCAGACCTCTCCATGAGATCAGTGACCCTTTATGGTTGGCAGACCTGGCTTTTCTAGTTGATCTCACTGATCATCTCAACACCCTGAACAAGAGACTACAAGGCAAAGAGCAGCTGGTACCACAGCTGTATGCGCACATGAAAGCATTCCGTGCGAAGCTCCGTCTCTTCGAGTCACAACTGCGCAACTTCAATGTAGCGCACTTCCCCACGCTGACTGAAATAAAATGCGCATCCCCTATTCCCCTATTTATCTTCTCTGCAAAAATGGGAGAATGTGTCTGTGATCACATCTCTCATGACAGAATTCAGTCAGCGCTTCCAAGATTTTTCTGTCATTGAGAAGGAGATCACACTGTTTGCGGCTCCGTTTTCAATGGATGCAGAAGAAGTGGAGGAGAGTGTGCAATTAGAACTGATCGCAATTCAGTGTGATGATTCTCTGAAGAATCAGCATCAGCTTCTCTCCCTACCTGACTTCTACCAGAGCTTGGAAAAGGCCAAGTTTCCTCTGATGAGACGCCACGCAAAACAAATGATGAGTCTGTTCGGCTCAACATACGTCTGTGAGCAGACATTCTCTCTGTTAACCCTGAACAAAGCAGACTGAGAACCAGAACGACCGACAACCATCTCCGTGACGTCTTTCGCATCTCAACCACCAAACTTACTCCTGACCTGCCAGCTATCCTTCAGACCAAAGCGCAGCATCACTGCTCCCACTGAGCGCAACATTCTTCCCATTACAGGTGAGTTAAAAATATACACAGTTTTCATTTGTTAATAAGCCCAATTACTTAATAAATTCAGTCAATGAAAGTTGATGACAATTTTTTAACAAACGTTAGTTGATGTGTTAACAAACCCAATAATGTATTTGTGTAATAAGCTTGAAATATCCACATCCCCTATTTATCTTCTTGTCTCTCCCTTCATACAGGACAATGAAGGGGGATCAGCACCCTAAGAACCAATCTGAGGCTGTCACTGAGAGAATGACCTGCCAACCTTTTTGTAAAAAATAAAATGAAAATCTACTAATGGAGAGCTATGATGGAGGCTTTTTTCCTTCAAACATGTTCAATTATCAAACGTAATTTACCTGCATTTGATTGATTTTGCCAATATTAGTGCATGAGAAGTGAGGCAGTATACCTCACGTCTAGCGAGTGGCCCAGTCCTTCGTATATTTTACTGTATGTGGCCCTCGGGGAAAAAAAGTTTAGACACCCCTGGCCTAAAGCTACAAGAAAAATGTATACATTTTTTTAAATCAATTGTGCACACACACTCACCCGCCCAGCATGCTCGGCTAGGGTGACACCTGCAAGCAGCTCCATTGTCAGACTGAGGCCCCACTGTTTGCTGAGGCCACCAACCAGACTCCCTGTACACCAGACAAACAAACACAACCTCTGTTATTAACACGGTAATAAACAGGCAAGGGCCTCGGAGGAAATATGGTTCACGGACGACGGTTGGAGCAGCATCAGCAATATCTCACGGAACATTTTACATCAGTCTATGGGTCTTCTGGCCTCGTGCTTCTAGGCAGCATCCGTTTAAGCAGGCAAAGTCTGAATTGGTTTCAGCTTGAGGTTCATCAACAGTGTGGTTGCAGACTCTTAGGATTAGTACCTTTACATGGGTAATTTATTTGTTAGCGCGTACGCTACTGAGCCGGTTTAGACTTGTTGTTTTGCCTGCTTGTTATGCTGTGGCGTTATATTTTACACCCACCTTTGAATGTCATGTAGATGTTGAAGACACTGGGTTTACATTGCTTTTTCATTACATAAGTGTTGCAATGATCCATATTCGCAAAAGCGATGTTCCAAATGTTATCCAAAATCGAGGTGTTTGTGTTAGATCACGTATATATATAAATGCGTCGTTAAACCCACCACTACCCGACAGCCAATTAGTCAGGTTTGTCACATTAACAAAACATGCCAATTCGCTATTAGTACAGCACACCGGTGTGTTGGGGAGTAAAGCCACAACATTTACAATTGCTGTTTCGGTCTAAATGTGACGCTTTCACTTGTGAGCCAATCAGGTTGGCAGGCCAGATGGGGGGGGGGGGGGGGTAAATGTATGCATATAAATTACAATGCATATTCAATGTTGGTTGGGTTATTCATATGGTAATCAATTAACATAATGCACATGCACACCGCGCATGCGCGACGCACATACATTATGCATGTGCATTATGCATGCACGCCATGCATGCACATTCTATCATTTTTGGGTGCAAGAAATCACAATACCTGTTATTGTCTGCTCACAGCTAATCACCATCAATGTACGCTGACCTGTATAGGCATGCAGTTAAACAGTGTATTACTTGATAATTCGCTTCCAAGGAGAACTAAGCCTGTAAGCCTGTAGCTATCAGAATGGTAAAAAAAATATTTCTCTAAATGGCATTTCCCCCCCCCCTCCCCGGCGTTCGTAACCGATTGGCGAAATGATTGACGTCATCACATTTATCCCTCTAAGATCTAAACAGAAGGATTTCTCCACAACTTTGTCTGTCGCCTGATGATGCTAGTTGTAATTATTGGCGAAACGTCGTACTCGAGTTGTAAATGTTGTGGGTATAATCTCCAACACACCAATGTGCTGTACTAGTAACAAATTGTCATGTTTTTTTTACACGTGTCAAACCTTACCCATTGGCTGTGCCGGGTGGTGTCGGGTTTAACGACACATTTTTATATTTACGCGATATAACCCAACATACCTCTATTATAGATGAGGCTTGTTTTAGATTGTACACAGTTTGACTTGAAATGTTAATTGGGCCCCGATATAACCATAAAAACCTATATTACGGATATTGGTCGCGGAAGCCTACGTGTTAAACTTACATATTTGTTTTTTTGGTGAGGCCACGTGGTCGTTTTGTTATGGCCATTAACCCACCTCCATCTAACCAGATTGTCACGTTTACAAATACATTAATACGTGCCAGTGTTTTGATAAAAGTCTGACCAATAAAGCTCATTTTCACGACGGAATAACATACGTTTTGCACAAACTGCTTTGAGCTTCACTCGATCGTGAACTTGAAAATGAAATGAGGCTGATCAAATCAATCACAAAACCACGTGCGCAGGTGGTACTCGCACCGCTCCAATCATGCAAGGCTATCACTGAAAAGGTGCTACGTTTCACAGCCATAGTCTGAAGCAGTTGTTGCATTCGAGGGCAATGTTACCGTAAAATCCCAATCGAGTATTTTGCAGGTAAAATGTTCACGTGCGCACAAAGACGGCGGCACACAGTGGCCTAACTTTAGCGAATGAAGTCAGGGACTTTGCGTCCACTGTAATAAAGTAGACGGCGCGTATTGTTTTGACTTATTGCACCCTTGCTGTAATACTGTAATTATCAGGGCGGTCGCTGGGTTCTAACCGTGACACATCTGTACAATTTCGCTAGGACGTCACGGCGCACAGTGAAAGCGGCAGAAGTGTCAATCTCCCAACTTAACATTTCTGAAAAATGGCATTGTGCATCAGTCATAGCTGAAACTAACAAAAAAAATGTGTATATACTTTTAAAAGACCATTAATAGTTTACCAATCACACAGAGCGGCAGTAAATCCCAAATGGGTTCCTCAATTCTCGCAACAGCACTCGAGTGGTGGGGGGGGGGAAGTAATTTGACTAAACATCACTCAACTCTCTTGTCTTAAACAACGCGCAAAGGCACTCAAGTAGTTTTTATTCCGAATCGGCCTCCGGGGTTGGCCACTTGCGGAATACAGATTACTGATATAAATTAAGGTATTGTGCCGCTTGCTAATTGCCGATTGCTTAACACATGCGGCACCATGTCGATTCGTTGAAGTGCCAATAAACAAACGCTTTCGAAGCCCGTTTCGTCAGATATTGAGAGAAAATTCGTCACTACTGAACCTTTATAGAATAATGAGGTCTTTTTTTTTTACTCGTGAACTGGCAATTAAAAAATCCAACACAGTGACGTACAACACTGTACTGTGTATGTAATAGATATATTTCGTCAATAATGTATATATTGCCACATGTTGCGCCCTTATTGCCAACACTATAGCGTTGTAAACTGCGAAACGTATGCAACGTATGCGAATTAAATACTTGAAAACAATGTCTTAAAAAAAAAGTATGCACTTGTTTTGCGAAGGCGCGAGTTTTACCGAATAAACAACGCGGCAGTGCAAAAACATCTTGCAGCTGCATGGATACAAATGCAAACGGAGATATCACGTACTGTGGTATACCTTCAGAAATGTATTAATTTCGTAGAACCGTTACATTATTTAACTGTTAATTTTAAAGAAACATCACCCGAAATATTCGCTTGCTTCAAAGGCCGCTCGTTGAGCCATCGGCTCCATAATCCCCGCGCAAAAAAAATCCACAAACTTCGATCAAACTGTCAAAACAACACGCGAATCTAAAACACCGCATAAAAATGCTCAAATAGCATCGACATTCATAACAATCGCATAGCAATTAACAATTACATTCGTCGGGTTGCACGCTACATAAACAAGGCCGGGCCAATTCTGTTCACGCGAGCCCTAACCCCTAACCCTTTCCTGACCACCCCGGCCGGACAAGGCGCGCCTCAACGGGCAAGACCCCACTAGCCGTGGGGGGTGGGTTCGCGGAAACGGCAGAGGCTGGCGTCTTGCCTGACCGCTCCGCCGGAGGATGCTGCTCCAAGAGCGGCAGCGACCGCCAGGCGACGCGCGGGGGCCCGGGAAGACCCGGGCCCCCATTCTACCGGAAATACGCGGCGGCACAATTAACGTGCCGAGGCGCTTCATACATTGATAAATTATGTTAATAAGATAACAAGAATTATCATTTTTCATAAATCCCGACAGCGCGCGCTTTTTTATTTTCTTCTTCTTCCCCCCCTCCTCCTCCTCACCTCACCTTGTTTGTGTTTCGCCACTCGTCGGTAGCCCCGCTCGGTGTCCGCGTGCGGTTTGTTGTTGTTGTTAAATGTCGCTCGCTCTCTTCTCTTCTTCGCTCCGCCGCCGCGTTGGGGTTTTTCTCTCTCTCCTCCCCCCCCCGCCACTTCTCTCTCAACCTCACCACCACTACTCACACACACCACCCCCCCTCGAATCGTATTATCTCTTTAAATAGAGCGCGCGGGCGAGCGAGCGAGCGGGCGGGCTAACCCCCCCACAACACCGCCGCTCATCACTCGAGTGAGCGGGGAGACAGCGTTGAGAGGAGACGGGGCTGGTGGTGTTGTTGTTGGTGGCGGTGTTGGTGTTTGGGGAGCTTCCCCGCGTCCGCGGAGCTCCCCCAACTTTTGCCGATAGAGTCGACGACGCAGGACTTTTTTTGTTTGTTATGTGTGAGGATTCATAACACTAGACTTTTAAGGCTTTCGTGACTGAGGAATTCATATTCTTTGGGGCTTTCGGTAAAGTCACGGAAATAGGTTCAAAGAAAATAACAGAAAATAAACCTAAGGCGTTTCCATCACAACACAAGCGATCGTCATCAGGAGGAAACAAGAGTGGGGAAAGCTGCTGAGGCAGACTGTTTTAAAGGTTAAAATGGGTGTAGGCTATGGGTCATCAACGAAGTGGGCGGGGCTAGTGATGTTAATGTCAGAGAGATTAGCGTGTTAATGGGAGGGTGGCGACGACCAGGGCATGGAGGTGGGTGTGTTAATGTGATAAATTAGCATGTTAATGGGAGATCAGATGGTGGCCACGACTAGGGCACGGAGGTGGCTATGTTAATGTGATAAATTAGCATGTTAATGGGAGATCGGAGGGTGGCGACGACCAGGGCACGGAGGTGGCTATGTTAATGTGAGGGATTAGCATGTTAATGGAAGATCGGAGGGTGGCGACGACCAGGGCACGGAGGTGGCTATGTTAATGTGAGGAATTAGCATGTTAATGGGAGGGTGGCCACAACGAGGGCACGGAGGTGGCTATGTTAATGTGATAAATTAGCATGTTAATGGAAGATCGGAGGGTGGCGACGACCAGGGCACGGAGGTGGCTATGTTAATGTGAGGAATTAGCATGTTAATGGGAGGGTGGCCACAACGAGGGCACGGAGGTGGCTATGTTAATGTGAGAGATTAGCGTGTTAATGGGAGATCGGAGAGCAGCACCGTCGAGCTCGGCGAGCGAGGTGGCTGTGTTAGTGTGGGAAATTTAACCTGTTCATGTAAAATCAGAGCCAAAAATAACAACTGACATCGGAAAGTGGTAGGATGGGGACATCACAGCCAGTTATGACTTAAACTGGTTGATAATATCCTTCCGATGATTGCTCAGTTTATACCCATCTTCTCGATGGAAGTTGTGTTTGTGTCTGTATATGTGGATGGCTTCATGAACAAATCTTTGTTGATAGCCAGTGGGTTTTCAAAGTACCTTCGTCTTAGAGAAATAAATTTCGTGTGAGTCCACCACAATGATCAGCCACGGCTGAAGTATTAGTCCTACTGTGTTTCAGATCTGCCTTATGTTCACGAACACGGTCCGAGACATGTCCCTTAGTTTCCCCAATGTAACTACTGCTGCAGACACAGCTTAGTTTGTAGATGCCGGGGTATTGCATGTCAGGGATCACATCCTTCACAGATGGGATCAGATCACAAATTTTATGTACTGTGTTAAATCGAACCTGGATCTTGTGTTTGCTCATGATTTTGGAGATATTTTTGGTAACCCCTGCTATGTATGGCAAGGTGGTGATTTTGATTGGGTCCTCAGATGGTTCTTTCCCAACGGTTGGGGTGAGAGCTTTACGGATTGTGTAGTCTGAATATCCATTTATCTTGAGAGCTTGGTGTATGTGTTTCAGTTCACTCGCTAGATGATGGTTGTCGTAAATACATCGAGCTCTATGGTGCAGAGTTTTTACGAGGGATTTTTTTCTGGGAAGGATGGTAGTAGGAGTCAGGTTTTACATATGCATCCGTATGGGTGGCTTTCCTGTAGACAGTGCCCCATTGAGCCATCTGGTCTCCTTTCGATTAAAACATTCAAGAATGGTAGCTTGCCATCCTTTTCCATCTCCATGGTGAATTTGATGGCTGGATGTATGGAATTGATGTGTTTGAGGAATTGGTTCAGAGTTAGTTGGCCATGTGGCCAGATGATGAACGTGTCATCTATGTACCTCTTCCACAAGGACGGACATAGATTAGATGCCTGGATGGCATTTGTCTAAAAAAATTCCATGAAAACATTGGCTACAACTGGAGATAAGGAAGAACCCATTAGGGTACCTTCAACTTGTTTGTAGAAAGTTCCATTCCAGGTGAAGTAAGTGTTGGTGAGGCAGTGTCTTACCAGGGCTGCTACAACAGCATTCAGTCCATGTTGGACCAAGTCTTCAATGATTGCCATGGTGTCAGGCACAGGAACTTTGGTAAACAAAGAGACTACATCGGAAACTGACGAGCAAATCACCTGGAGATAGTGAGATGTCCTTAATTAACGATACCAAGTGAGCTGAGTTAAGTACAGCTGAGGTGGTCTTACCAGTGAATGGTTGTAAGGTCTCAGACAAAAATCGGGCCAGTTTGTAGGTGGGTGAGTCAATGGTGGAGATGATAGGACAAAGATCTTCCAGCCGAGTGACATAGTCCAACCGCCAGCGTGTCCTGTACCGGCCTCGGGGTCTTCGTCCAGTGGGACGTTGCTGCTGCTTGGTAGAGTTCCAGGGGGAGTCTACCGGGGGGGGGGGGGGGGGGGGGTGGACATCCTTACTGGGTGCCCAAACCACCTCAACTTGCTCCTCTCGATCCGGAGGAGTAGCGGCTCCACTCGAAGGCTCTCCCGGATTACAGAGCTCCTCACCCGATCACGGAGAGTGAGCCCGGCAACCCTGGGGAGAAACCTCGCTTTGGCCCCCTTGTACCTGCTGATCTCATCCTTTCGGTCATTACCCAAAGCTCCTCATCACCGTAGGTGAGGGCGGGGATGTAGATCGACCTGTAAACCGAGAGCTATAGTCTAAACGCATGTTTCTAAATGTGGGGATCTGCTAGTCGCGACGAGAGGGGCTTCATGAGTGAGTTCGTGTATAAGCCAAGCGCTCTCGTTAGCTGACTATATAAAAAAGTAGCTAGGCCCAATCTACAAATAAATGTAGAAATTAATAATTTCTTGTCAATTGGTTGATAACACGGCAGGAATTTGATCATCAATACATTGGTCACGTATAAATAATAATATTGTAATCTTGACGATCTTGGCAGGTGGTGGAAGGTTGGATTATGATAATTATGGCATAAAACTACCACGTGGCCGAACCTGAGAATAAATATGGATCAATGTTTTGGCTACAAAAACCCATCGTTTTATGTTGTATGTTCAACATAAAACGATGGTTTTTTGTAGCCAGGTGCAATGGAGGTTCAATATCGGTTCAATATAGTCTTCATCCAGCTCACCTGAGAACACAGCAGTGGATCGATCATAGCTGCTACTGATGCGAACTACAGTAGTGTATCGCACAATGCACTAATAAGATATTACCATAATTGCATTGGACTAACAATCCACCTAAATAAAGGATCAATTTAATGTATTGAAGTATTAAGAATATTAACATATAATGCATATACATGAAATGTAAAACTATGTTTATAAATACATGAGCTCATGCTTATACATATACATGGGTTGAATCAGTATTAAATAATTCCTAAACACTTAATAAGCAAATCAACTTGCACATCCTAATCTTATGTGTACAGTATTTAGGGGGAGCGGTGGTGCAGTGGTTTGTGCACTGCACTACGTACTCGGAAAATCTTGAGTTCGAATCCGGGCCACTGCTAACATCAGTGGTAACCACTCGCCCGCCAACCTAATCCCACGTGGTTGAGTATGTTGAAACAAACTCTTGATGAACGACACCGCGTGGGAAGAGGGGCCGGCCATAAATGACGTCACGCACCTGGGGGGGCGAGGTCAGACATTTGTGACGATGTGTGACGAGGGGGGTGAGGGGGGTTTGAGAAATGTGACGTCACGTAAAAATGCGCAACTTTAAATAAATAGAAGCAACACGTTCTACTTAATTAAATAGAATTGTTATAACAACACTAAAATATCAAACGGCCATTTTTGAGCATGGAGGGATAATCATGGAGTACCTACCAGATAGACGTCATTCGGCAAGCGTACAATAGCCAACGCGTCCTCCATGATTCATTATTCCTCCGTTAAATTTTAGTTCTTTGTACCCAGAAAATGGCGGCAGGCTTCTTTTCGCCATTGTCCGACTATAAACCACGAGTGACTGAATTTAGCCATTTCGGATCTTTGATTTAACTACGGAGTTCCCTTATGGAAATTAAAAAAATATTGTAAACCGCTCACGATTCAGTATATCGTGTGCACGATTTAGTATTTTATGCGCAAAAAATATTTTTGTTTATTCTTTGAAGGAGCATTTTTCTTCTCCATGGGAGAATGGAGAAGCATAAATTTTGTTATTTTTTTTATGCTGGTTATTAAACATTTTGATTCTAATGATTCTACCAGGGCATTCATTCTGTGGAATGAATATGTGATTTTTTAATTGTACTCTCCATTTTGCTTCGTTCTACTACAAAGTTTCAAGTCTTTTTTTATTATAATTACTTTTAATATTTGATATTTGTAAGAGAATTTCAATATAATATTCTAAACATCTGCAGTTTTAGTTAGACGATGAATATTCTCAAGTGAATTTTATGCTAAATGTCATCTTTACAACGCCTTTTTAATATATGTTTTCTCCTACAACATCAGAGTGCAGCGCCACATTAAATATGCATTACAATGACAATAGTTTAAAGTGATTTGAAGCATGTTTTATTTTAAAAATGGAAATATGGTTTTGGGGGGGGGGGGCAGAGCTTTGTGACGTCATATTTGAGGGGGGTCTGACTTTTTGTGACACCGTGTGACGAGGGGGGGGGGGTAAATAATCGGCGAAAATCGCGTGACGTCATTTATGGACAGTCCCGGAGACCTTCATCCAGCAGAGGATCGATATATTTGAATGAGACTGGAGGAATACGATGAGCTATGAAGCTCTTTTGCATAGATGGTAGGTGGCGGGTCAGCAAGTTGCAACAACAAACAGGAGTAAAGGTAAGCAAGTCACTCAAATAAATACAAATAACGTATATAGGTGTAGTGTCGTCTGTGCGTGCGGGTGGCGTACATCGCACACACAGACGAGGTGGTCGCAGGAAGGCACCGCTCTGCCCTCTTTATTCGTTGCCGTTGTTGCCGAGCTCACGCCACCACTCGGGCCCCCCCCCCCCTCTATCACACACGACCCCGCTGCCGCATGACCTGTCCCCGACACGACGCTGCCCGCGTTGCTCCGACGGCGTCGACCGGGACAGCGAACCACTGTCCAGCCGCGCAATGCCTGGGCGAAGGCGGCAGCGACGGGGGCGGTGACGACGACGAGACGAGTCCACTCCCAGAATCGGCAGCCCGGAGCTCTCGCTCTCCGCTGCTTTTATCCCCCTCGGCGCGGCTTGGCTCCGCCCTAGCCTCGCCTCCCTTCT